TGGGCTCTATAACCTATACTTTAATTATTCTAATTAATTTAAGAATTTAGAAGTTTTTAACTTTCAAAATCATTTCCATCCTGTAGCACTCTCTGATTCTAATTCTCATATTGATCAATGTTATTAATTTTATTATCTTATTATTACTATTGTTATGATTATGATGATGATGATCACCATGATGATGATGAGGGGCAGGGTGATGGATCTACATCCTCTTTTTATATTACTACTTCAGATGATTCAACATTTTAGTAAAGTGATTCAATATTTACACTTTTTTAATTTTCTTTATTTACTTAAATAGACATAATTTATTGGTTCTAATTATCTGTTTTGATTTCTTACTATTCGCTCTAATTATCTTCTTTGATTTCCTACAGCTTATCTTGTTTTATGTTTTCAGGTTCCTCTTCTATTATTATAGGTTTTTGATCAGAAGAGTCAAGATACTCCTTTTACATTATTTATGGCTATTCTGGTTATGCTTAATTAATGTTCAATGAATATTAATTGGCAGAAATGTGAAGCACATTCAAGTAAACTTACAGCACCAATCTCGGAATATCAATTAAATTTTATTTCTACAAATCAAAAACTAGACGACTATTTTAAATTTAGATTAGTTTAATTATGTTATTGATGATTATATTCATCAAAGATACAAATTCTATTGATTGTTTGGATATATCCTCATTAAGTAATTTTGAAAAATTTTACTAATTCAAATACAATCTGAAATCACCCTTCATTACTCCCATTCTCTCAATAAATAGCAACCTAATCCGATATAAAGCATATGAATAGTTAGTGATTATAAGGAATGTATTTCCATCTATTAACCTAACTCATTTCTATTGATGAGTTATTCGAAATTTTTTTTATATTCTTAGATGCTTCATTTAAATTTTTCCACCATTTTTTATATAAATATAACTTTCCTTAATTTATCTTCTTTCTTTTTTTTCCATTCTATGAATCTTTTTTAATCAATCCTACCTTTAATATGAGCCTAAATCAAGGAAGCAGCTTTATCCTTCTTCTCCCTTAGAGTAGGTTTATGGACATTCTTTTTTATGATGAAACGAGACGAATTGATCTCTGCATTTTTAGCTTCATCTATTTTGTTTTGTAACATTTCTAACTCTAAAATCTTTTCTTATTTAACCCTAGTATGATAATATGTTTACTTTTCTAGTTCCGCTATATCTTTCAACATCATCTCATGTTTCTTAATATAACTTGAATCTGATGCTTCATCTGCTTCTTCCAAAATGAGAGACTATTCAACCTTTTAAGGTTATTATACTTATGGTTTTTAAGGAGTTGTCTTTATTTCATTGAATAGATTAGCATACTTATTGGAAATAGGCAAGATAACATTATTAGATAATTGTATTGAGGCTGTTTGTGGTCTTTTTACTGCTATTGTTTGGTTTTGTTTCCTTTTACTGGGTCTGATTGATACAACACTTTTATTTAAATGGGTTATATTATTGGGATTATTATTTTTGAAGACAACTGATTTTCCTTTGATTTCAAAGAACTCAGGAGATATTCCATAGGCATCCATATATGGTTTAATTCTTTGGTAAATTAATCTCCTTTAAGGTTTAGCTGGCGAAGTGTATTCTTTCACTTGTACTTTGATTAATGAATTATTTATCATATTATAATCAATAGTAAAGTAATTTTTTGGATTATCTTTATGGCGTTTTCATTTGGAGCACTTCAGTTTTTAGTTTAACAACTTCATTTTGCAAATCGTTATAGAGACACTTAAACATGACTCTTTGCTTTTGAATTTTATATTTGATCTAATAGATTTTAGATGATAACTACATGATTCTCATTTTCAAATGCTTTATTAAGTCTTTCAGTAAGGATGTTAATGGTTTGATCCTTTTCTTTCAGCTTCTTAGCGTTGTGTATGCTTCGACTTGAACTTCTTTGAGTATTTTATTGCTTGCTATCTTGAGGACTTTAGAAATGACTGTGACTTCTTTTGATTTATGTTTCCAATTTCTAGATTAGTTTTTCTTATTGCTTAATAGTTTCAATGAGTTTCAACTTCGACATTCTGTTATAATTAAATAGTAAATTATAATTCAATGATAGAAGAAAATCCTAATTTCGGCTATGCCTAAGATGATGAAGATGCCTCATTCAATAATAGCAGCAGATTTCAAAATGAAATCAATGAGGAGTTTAGAAAGGTGTCAGAAAATAAATTATAAGTAACAAAACTAAATGAGGAGAATAATATTTGCACAATTAAATTGTCACGAACAAAAAGTGCAGAAAAACAATAAGATCACATGATGATCCTATTGTTATCTCTACTTGATAGAGAATTATATATTAAGCAGGTTAGCTTTAAAGTTGATAGCTGGAAAGTCTATGCAGAAAGTGAGAAATTGACATAATTAGTCAAACAAAGTCAACACACTTCCACATTGGAATTGATTAAGAGCATAGTACCAGAAATTTGCAACATTGTTTTATCATTTGAGATATCAACAAACAGTGGAAAGAAATCAGATAAGTAGGAATTTGGGAAAGCACATACTCATACTCAGCCTATTCCTTATTAAGGATTCTCTACTTGTTGTTGGTCTCCTCAGGGTCACTTAATTACTGTACACAACACTGCAACTAGTCATTAAAAATAAGCCAAAGAATAGAAAGCTTAGTATACAACTTTGTAAGAATTGAACTCATTTGTATTTTCACAACCCAAAACAAAACAATCCAATCAATAATAAAGACATGTTGTCGAAATCAGAGAAGATGAAGAAAATCTATAACCTTTTTTTTAAGCTGGCGTTTAATTAATATCAGAAAAAGAAGATGAAGCCTATGATTATTTGAATTTCTAATTTTATTATCACTATTTTCCTCAGTTTCATCAATAGGAAGTACCTAAAGAACAAAAAGTTGAGAAGGTAGCATTTTATAAGGATTATGAAATTTATGATTTGCACAATAATCCAGATGTAATTATCTTAGGAGAACAATTTAAAAATCTATCTAAAAAAGTATATGAATAATAAGATAAAAAGACTGTCATCAATTAAAATGTTGAAATCAGTGTAACCTTTTTTTTAATTATTTTAGATCTATGATTTTGGCAGTTATTCTTTCCATGTTGATAATATCACAGCACTGCATGAATATTTTACAAGTCATATGAAAAAGAATAATAATAACACTAGTATTAATAATCCATTAAAAATCTTATTTCAACCATTAGAGGAATATTTTAAATTATATAACTCAAATATTGCTAACTTTGTTCTTACTAGTGGAGTTACATGTAATCAAATCAATTATATAATTTAGTGGATCTTTAAGAATACAACATGAAAATCTTGAAAATTTTATCCGATTGCATCTATCAATAATAATTAAAGAAGGTTCAACATTAAGAAATGAATTTAATTAAAGACTTTCAAGAATATTTCAAAAAATTATGGAATTCACAATATTAGATTTATCGATTATATGATTAGATAGCTTATTCAATTAAGAAAAGCAATTTAAAAGATACGAAGAAATTATTAGATTGTGTCTATTAATTGAAATTGGAATCCAATATTGAAATGAAGGATTAAATTAAAGATCTCATTAAAGATGAAATTAGTAAATACAATAGTTAACCAAATCCAAAGCTATTTGTAAAAGGAACTTAAAGCATCTCGACTTATGATAACTTTTAAAAGATATAAAATGAATGTCCTATTTATATTATATGGAATTAACTCAATAATTTTCCCTTAATAGTAAGTGATAAGGTGGAATTCAGCAAATTGAATGTTCTGAAGACTGCACTTAGAGCTTAGAGTCCTTTTAATTTCTGCATTTATAAGAAACTAAAATCAACTAGCTTTTAGGTTGGTAATTTTAGAGATTTGCTGAATAACGAAATATATGGGTAGGGACCCTTATAATTGGGAAATGTGAAGTAAAATTAAAATAGGACAATTTGTTCAATCTGTTAACAAGTTATTACAAGTCATGGATTGTTTTGTAGTACATGCCAACATGGAGGACACTATGAACATATGTAGTAATGGAAGCAGACATGTCCAGTTTGTGATTGTGATTGTAGAAAATGATATCAATACATATTATAAATTATTTCCTCCCTTTAATTTGATTCACTATTTTAAATAACATGAAAAATTCTAATCGCAAGAACAACCATTCAGGTATCCATTAATTTCTAACTTTTAGCTATCAATCAAGCATAATTTATTTATGGGAAAAAACTAACCAAGAACAATTATTATTATGCAGTTAAATGGTAAGGATAACCCATTTCTAACATGTCTTGGGAGAAGTAATCTAATTTCACTGAAGAATCTTCCTATTTAATAAGGTAGTATATTTCAATTATTAATTTTTATATAGACGCTTTGAAACTAGGATTGCCTATTTATTCTACAATAAAAAGATTTATCCCTCCTAAGATGGTATAAGAGTTCATGTTAAAAGCAAATTTTGTTAAGTTTACACTCCCCAGATGAATTAAAAAAGTAAGTCTATTTAAGATCATTAATGGAAAATGTAAAATATTTCTAACAAATTCATTTAAACCTCATCTATCATCAACTAAAACTTAAAAGATGTTACTCTTAGCACTTAGGATTCTAAATTTGACTCAAAAAGAGTGGTAGTACAATTTGCTCCTCTGCCTCCTTTTATCGGAGAAAATTAGATCAAGTAGATGATAGTTACTACCTAATCAATGACAAATCTGAATTAGGTTGTTAAATAGGAGTCAACAATTGAAAGAGATATCAAATTACTAAACTAAATAGAGAAAGCTTAGAAAAAGATAAATGAATAATAAAAAATTCAATAAATAGAAGTTTAAAATGAGTAACAAAAAATTAATAATTAGAAATCTTAGATTTAAAATAATAGTAAAATAGTAAAAAAAAGTTCTAAGAAGTCAAACTCAAACGAAAAGAAGAACAAAATCAATCAGTTATAATAGCAAAAGCTTCAGAGTAATTTAGAATCATCTAAAGTAGAAATTAACAAATAATTGTTCGATTAAGAAAGGAAAAAGAAATAATGGCAATCATCAAGTGATTTTATATCGATTGAAAATCAAGATGAATCTTTTTAGTTGGAAATATAAAATTTTGAAGAGAGTATTGATAAAAATTAACCTCTTATTCATCATGTTAATTAAAAGCTTAAATAATTTGATAATAAAAATAATTAAACAAATTCAGAAAAATTTCAATTAAATAATAATGGATCAAAAAAGTAAAAATTTAGAGCAGTAAAATCTGGAAATTTAATATCGTTTTTAAATATGAATTCTTCTAAATTAGTATCATCAATAATTGATAGTAATAATAAAAACAATGATAATAGTTATTAATAAACTAATAATAAATTCAATAATCACAAAAATCCTTCTAATGATAATTCAAACTTAATTGAAATTGATGGCGACGATGATAATAAAAATATTTTGAATAGGTCATCAAATAACAACAAAAGTGACAATTCAAGCTCTATAAATAATATTAGTTTACATTAAAGTATTAATTATTCTGAAGAGAAGAAAACAGAAAAAGATAACATTTTAGATCAAATTATATATTAAAAGCCAAAAGGGAATGATAATTTAGATTTAAACATATTCAAAGAACCAAAACAATTAAACCAAGTAAAAACAAGTCAATAAATTTAATAAGAGATCTAAAAACTTCAATTAGATAGAATTGCTTAAAATAAACCAAGTAGGTGCAGTGTACCTATAATACCAAGAATAAAAGATGTCGAAATTTAAGTTTGTTTAGTTGATAATCATGAATCTAAGATGATTCAGTATGATTAAGAATTAAATTAAATAAAAAGTTACAATATAATGATTTCTAATATTTGCTCACATCTGTTAATGAATGAGTAATTGTTTTTTCAATGTCAGTACGATAATGGTATAGAGTATTTTGTTGAATATGATGAGTTGAAAGTCTTTAGCCCTAAATAACTATTAGATTATATGATATAAAATTCTATATTTATTTGATTTGATTTTTCTATTTAACAATATTATATTAATGAACTAATAACACTTGATAAGCTATCACACTTAATAATTCAATTCTTAAAATAAAATCATTTGGCATTATTCTATTTTTATGTTCATAAGAGAATTAAAAAGTTTCATTTAAAAATAGGGAAGATTTGTATTTTCATATATAAGATATTTAGATGTTTTACTTGGACCGTTATTGGTCAGCATAATAAAATTCTGAATTAGTTTTGACTTCATTTACATTTTTAATTCTAAAAATTCACTCTATTTTGTTCCTCAAAATTATAATCTATGTCAAGTCTCAAAATTATCTTTTGACTTGATCAGTAAGGAGGCCTCAAAATATCTATGTAATTTATTTAAAATTACTATATTATATTTTTGAATGACAATTGTTTACTATAAAGAAATAATACCTTAATTAATACTATGAATACCTAATTCCTAATTCTAATTACACTTTAATGGAAACCCTACAAATTTTGTGTAATTAATTGTTCTTTGAGTGTTTTTGAAAATGATGATCATTCTCATGCTTTTAATATCTATATGAAAGATATCAAAATAAAAAAATTGAATTTAAATCTTAATCTAATAGAGTGATTTATTTCTTTTATAATATAAATTTTAGGAATAATAATTGTAATTTAGAATTAAAAAATTAATATTGTATAAATATAATATATTTATAAATTTGATTAATTTATTTTTATTATAAATAATTTTCGGAATTGAAGAATTATTTTAGTTTCCAAATTATATTTTCTTAAGTAAATAATCTAAAACTAATCAAAATTAACAAGTAATTTCTTATTTTCAAACCAAATTGATCAATCTGCATGATTTTAAAAAATGCTATTTTAATATAAAAATGACAATCCCTTTGACATTTGCTACTTTTTATAGTTAGTTTAGCTTGTTAGTATTATAAAATAAGTATATTTTAATAAAGGATTTCTCTTAAGATTGTGTGGTTAGAATCTTCTAAATTAATTCATTACAAAATTCTGAATTTTTGATAAATTCTAGTTGTGTATTGGAATCACAGAATTCTAAATTGCTATTTTTATACAGATTTAATTAAAATTTTTTACCAATAATTAATGTAAGAAACAGAAATATAACCATAAATAGAAGCTGGAAGACTTAATGACACAGTGTAGAGTGCTAAAAGTTTAAGATGTAGAAGAGTAGTAGATATTGCATTTCAAAATATTGAATATTAAGTGGTTGATTAGAAAGGACGTAAGATTTTCTTTAAAATTCATAGATAAAAGAGACATTTTGCGTAATTTACATGGATATTGTCCAGGAGGAGAAGTTACAGCCATTTTAGGAGCATCTGGTGCTGGTAAAACATCGTTGCTGAACATACTTGCTGCTCGTGTTTACAGTTCTAAAACAGTCAAATTAAAGGGGAAAGTGCTTGCAAATTAGATGGAGTATGATTCTGAGACATTTTCAAATTTTGCTGCTTATGTTATGCAAAATGATGTTCTTTTTGAAACTTTGACTCCAAGAGAAGCATTACAATTTGTTGCGGATTTAAAGTATACAGATCCAGAATTGAAATAATCAAGAGTAGAAGACACTATAAAAACAATGAAATTAGAAAGGTGCCAAAATGCAATAATTGGAGGTCCATCATTGAAAGGAATTTCAGGTGGAGAAAGAAAGAGAACATCAATTGGATTTGAATTAGTCACTAATCCCTCATGCATTTTATTAGATGAACCTACCTCTGGATTAGATTCATTTACTGCATTCTAAATTATGTAATATTTATTTTATATGCTAGATATGAACTTTAACTGCTTGCTCATGAACAAGATAGGACAATCATATTTACTATTCATCAGCCATCATCAGATATATACTTACTTTTTGATAGAGTCATGCTATTGGTTCAAGGAAAATTTATTTATTAAGGGCATAGAACTAAATTGGTTGGGTACTTTAAGGGAATAGGATTTCCTTGCCCAGATCACAGTAATCCAATGGATTATATGATGAGCATTATGCATCAAGAAAGTCAAATTAACATAGATAATTTCCCTATCTACTTTGACCAATATGAAAAATAATTACATCCACAAGTATTAGAGGAAATCAAAGAATCTTCAAAAACTGAATTAGTCTATAAGTAAGTTGAGACTTCTACTGCTTTTTAAATAAACCTAATAGCTAAAAGAGCAATAAAAGGATTTGTAAGAGATAAAATGATCATAAAATAAAGAGTTGGTATGGCAATATTTATGGGATTATTACTTGGATACTCATACTATGGTATTGGAGAAGATTCAGGAACATTCGCAGATTACACTAGTATGTCTGGATGTATGTTCTTTCTTTGCATCAATCTTACTATGAGTTCATTATTTCCAGTTGTGTTGCAATTTGCAACAGAAAGAGATGTATTTTTAAGAGAAGAAAACTCAAAGCTGTATACTACATTTTCATATTTCATGGGAAAATCATTTGTTGAAATACCTTTTTGTCTGATCTCTCCAATTATGTAGGAACTGATTCTTTATTGGATGATTGGTCTCAATTCAAAAGACGGAGGGGTTGTTGTAACACATATATTCATTGCAATACTCACCTGTTTAAATGGTAATAGCATGGGATTAATGGCTGGATGTGCATTTAATGACATTAAAGTGGCTACTAGTATAGTACCATTGATATTACTGCCTTTAATTATCTTTTCAGGTTTCTTCGCAAATTCAAAGTAGTTTTTCGTCTGGATTGGATGGATCTAATACATAAGTCCTGTTAAATATTCTTTTGAAGCACTAGCTACAAATGAATTCGACGGAAGAAGCTATGAGTTTGGTGATCCCATTGACACCCTAGGATTTGAAGTAGGATAATGGGAATCAGTAGGAATTCTAATTGCTTTTGTGGTAGCCATAAGATTTGGAGCATATATGTTCCTTAACATCTTAAGATCAAAATAATAATGATTGTTTTCTAATATTTTATATCTTGATAATTAATTTTAAATCAAATAAAATGTATAAGTATTTTAGGTGTTTATTATTTATTACGATAAATGCTTTTCTATAAAGTTAAATTACTTGATCCAAGATGATTTTTATATTAAGACAGTTGATATTAATAAGTTAATTAATCCAAATTATTGGATTTGAATTGCCAAAACTTAAAATTGACTACATGATCAATGCAAATCATACTGAACAGAAGTAAAATTTCAAGAATTGTGAATACTATTTGATTCATAAAAGTACTATGAAATATTGACTTGAAGAATTTATGATAAAGAATTACAAAGTATTGAATTTGTATATTGAGATTCTTGTTAATTTTAGGATTTAATGATGGATAATGCAAATTTATTTGGATGTTATTTAAACTTGTGATTTTATTCTGAGTATGGATTTGATATTCTTTCGTGTTTGAGATTTAAGATATTATAATGCGAATTATAAAATGGAATTATTATATATTATATAATAATGATTGATGATTCACAATAAATTATGAAGGAAATGATATAAAGTAATTCAATCGAACAATTAATGGAATTTATGAGCAAAGTCAAACCAAACATACTGAATCTAGATTGTGGCAAGAAATAAACCAGTAATTGTTTTCATATTAATCTAGTTCTACATATTGCTGTGCAGAAAAATGATTATCCATTCCTGAGATTTCTTGAACAATATTCCTAAGACAATTATAAAGAGAATGAGATTCGAAAATTAGTTAATACTTACAATATTGAAATCTTCACAGCTCTTCATATTGCATCCTACAATGGAAATGTGGTATATTTGATAGCATTTATCTAAGTAAGCTGTGAGGATCTTAATAAACATGGGCGCAGATATTGCTCTTAAAAGCGGATCTGGCTTATTGCCTATACATGCAGCAGCTTAAGGAGATTAACCATATATGGTGGTATGATGTTTTTAGTATAGAAGTGGTATTGGATATAATAAGGAATCTCCATTAATGCTAAAGATGATGCAGGAAATACTTGTTTGCATTGGGCAGCATATTAAAAGTAATCTATTATTTTTTGAGGTTCTAGTTGTGAATTAACTGTGAGTTATTTGATTTCATTTGGTTGTAATATGGATTAAAAGAATAACGAAGAATAAACTGCATTACATATTGGGGCATCTTATGGACAATCTAGAGTTGTTAAGAAATTATTAATAAAGGGAGCGTAAAGAAATATAGAAGTAATTTGATAATTTTCTATTTAGGATGTAGACGGATAGCTACCCATTAATTTGACAGAATCCAGTTAAATCAAGAAGATGCTTGAGGACAAAATGGATTTTGCTTTATTATATAATTTGAAACAGCCTTATCATCCGATTAAAAGGAACAGAAAATCTGTCTTCGTTTACTACTTTGTAATTCTGACATCCTAAGGTTGTATAGGATACATCTTATGGCAATTGTAAGGAATATTGTTGTAAATCTTTGTTGGTCTGCTGGCTATTTTGCTAATTGTCTCTGTTCTGGCATAATGTTGCAATCCAGGATTCATTACTTTGCAAATTACTGTGGAAGAGGCTATGAATTAATAGATAGATCCTATCAATATCTGTCCAGATTGTTGGGTCATTAAACCTTTAAGATCGAAACATTGTGAATTCTGTAAAAAATGTGTAGTGGTTTATGATCATCATTGTCCATGGATAAATAACTGTGTTGGAGCCAAGTAAATCATAGATTAACTATGTTTAGAAACTTAATTTATTTTTATATTTACCTTAGTACCTTAATCCTTATTTAGATTTATTCGGCTGCAATAATCGTTTTCTGTATTTACTTTTATCTAAATAGACTATTTTAAATCTGACAGCTTATCTCTATGCAACTATTCATTAATGCTATACCCTATCTTAAATATATTGATATTTATTACTCCAATTTTGTAAAACATCAATTCTATGTATTAGTCTTCTATGTATATACTAGACAAAGAATTTGTATTATGGAATCACTACTTATGAAAGAATAACTGGATCAAAAATTAACCTGAAGTCCAGCTTATTAGACCCTTAAGTAAGTTTAATTTATTGATATTTCAAAAGGAAAACATTCAAGATTCATAATCAGAAGAATCAAAAATAGAACCATCTATTTAAAATTGTTTTAACTAATGTTTTAGAAATTAGAACAAATTTAAAAAATATACATGAAGTTGATTAAATTACTAATTTTTTGTCATATTTTCACATTTCTTTTAATTTTAAATGCTCTTTGTGGTTTTTATTATAATGGTTATTATTACTACTACTACACTTATTATTGTTTTTTTGTTTCAGATTTGGTTCTTGTTTTGCCTTAGCTCTGTGTTCTCATTTACCTGGCATCTAAATCCACTTCTGAAAAAGGGTATTATTTAACTGGAATTTATTCATACTAAGATCTTCTGAAATTTTACTTATATTGTTATTATTGTTATTATTATTATTATTATTGTTGTTGTTATTATTATTGCTATTATTATTGTTATTATTATTGCTATTATTGTTGTTTTTTTTCTTTCTTTATTTCCTAAGCCTTTTAATATCTTGTTTATGGTTTTACAACCACAGTATCTAAGTTACCCTCTAAATTATCCTTTATCTATCCATTGCAAATATATTCATAAAAAGCTTTCAACACCCTATTCAATTATTCTTTATTATTTATAAACCTTTAGAATAAATAATTAGTTTACTTTAAAACCTTCCTTAAATATGGTTCGAATCTATAATGCATAGTTTTCATAATATTATAAGCTAAAAATGATCTCAAATTAGCTAAAGTCTTAAAAGGGGAAGCTGATAATCTACTCCTGGGATTTATAAGATTAAAATCTATAAATGCATTCACAATGCCCACTCCTACTTGTTCATAATCTTAAATTGTAAAGAAATAAGACTTCGGATTAGATGTTTAGACTGATCCCAATACAACATTTTCATCTAATTAATCATCTGTATACGAATTATCTTATTTTTAATATAAATGTTACTAACACTCTCTTCATACATAATATTTGTAATTCTTCCTGTGTTATAATTACATTCTAGAGTGTAACTATGAATAATGCCACAAATCTTATAAAATGCTACTCTCCCTGAACCTTCCTTACTTAAACCATCTCCTTTATCTGCAGCATACATATTTTTTTCGGTAAAGTTACATGCATCATAATCGAATATTTCCGAGTATAAGCTAATCAATCTTGGAATTATGCAATTTGATGTGTGCTAACTTAATGATGATAATTAATTTCCGTATATAAATACTCCCTTATGACCAGCATGGGCATGTAGATCAATATACCCATAAAATCTATCAGTATTTTAAAGCCTCATTATATATTCTTTAATCGCATAAATTGTCGGGTGATCCTCTTTTGAAGGAGATAGATAATATCTATTTAGATTTTAACACAAGGAATCAGTCCTGTAATGTCCCCTATAAACACCATCAGGATTTATGATAGGAATGATAGACCAAACAAATTTCTCTCTGGCCACTTATGCAGCAGGATCATATGCGTTGAGTAAATACTTCATTAATCCATTGTTAACAAAAGATCCTGGCACTTCCCCTGGATGAACTCTAGCTGAAATAAAAATGTGTGGTTTTTTGAATTGATAAGGCCGACTCTATGGGAATAAACCAGGTATAGATTCCTCCTTAATTTAGGATGATCCATTAGTTATTGTAATTAGATTAATAGGTCTACCTTCTCTAGAGTAAGCCAGTACTGAATTATCATAATATATTTCAGGCACCTAAAGAGACATAGCTTAACATAGTTATAGAAAATTCTATAACTATATATGTTAAATACATCATTGTCTTCACAACTCCAAGGATAGAAAAAGGCAAAATAAACTGTTGAATCATTAAGAAAACAATGCTTAAAAGTTATTTCAAAATGACCCTCTGGAACTAAGCGATATTAACATGGTTATTTTAATCTCTCCCATTGAGACGAATGGCAATTTCTATAGACTGGCTACATACCATCTTTGAAAAGTCCCATCTAAGATGAATTTGTAATTACTTACTTAGTTTTACATATTGGCTATTACAAATGTAAGTTCTCCTTCATTCACCCCAGACACTGAGAAATAAAACCATGTTCTATAATTAGTTGTCTTGCCATTAATTCCCCAATCACTTGATATGTTAAGGATGTACTTAATAATGTTATAATTTACGTACTCTTCCACTGTTTTCCTTCCGAACACTCTTTAGATTACCAGAATCGAATGCACTTGAAAAGGTGATTCCTTGAATGGTCTCAGTGATTTGAGATGGGTATTCGGTAGCATTATTCATCATTCGAATTAATATTTATAACAAGTGACAGTTTATAAAGTTTAATATTACATAACAATTAATAATAATCTAAACAAATCTGAATTATATTATCATAAGTAAATATATTGATAGAAAAACCCTTACTTTTAAATGATTGGTGAATAAATAAAGAGATACATATTTATTGATGATTTCAAAATGATCTAATGTCTTAAACTTTTCTCATTTATCATCCAACATAATGGTTATTCAATCTAAAGAATAACATTTAGAAGAGATTTAATAGTAAGTGTTTATAAATAAATTCAGTTTGTGAAAATGTATATGTGATTATAAAAATTTAAATAAGATATATTGTTATTTTTAATTGAAAGATGATAGCAATGAGACTGTTTAAAGATGATGAGTAGATGGATCGATCAATTTAAGCTACATACTTATTAAAAGCTATTTGTATTTAATCCAAAGGTTTTGAAATATTTTTAGGGTATTCTTATCAAATATATGAATTTATTTGTAATTTATTTTTGCTTAAAATTAATTTACTGTATGTTATTTAAAGAAATAATCTCTTAATAACACATGAATTTTATGAAATTTACTTACTTATAAATGACTAACAGAGAAAGATGTAAGCTATAAACCTAAAAAGAAATAATTTCTGCTGTATAATAGTTTCACTATTCATTAATAACCTATATTCTATTAATATTTATTTTTAATTTAGCATAATTGATTACAATAATTAAATAGTTTATCATTCAATATTTATGGCTTTTATTTCATCCCATTCATAATACTGTTGGTATTATTTATTATACTAATATAAGAAATAAATAATACTGCTTTATGGTAGGACCTTAAGCCAATCAATTTCTACTAAGAACCTAAAATTTGGCTTTATTCTGCTTTTGATTTATTAAATTGACTTTATGAAATATCATTTTGATTGTTAGCTTTATTCTAAGAGTTTTGATTCTAATTTTCATTTTAAACTAAAGCTGATTATTTAATTTGGCTTTAGGCTAGAGGCAATTATTCTATTTTAATATCTTGATTGTTTATTATTGGGATCTCGTTATTATTATTGACGCCAATAGGTATTTCTAATTCATTCAATAATTTGAGATATTTTCCCTTATAAATTGAAGGAGCAAACATCATTTGAAATTAAGTGAATTTCATATCTTCCTAAATTTAATCCTTTTTTAAAACTAAAATAAACATATATTAATCTTACATTTCAAAAATGGTCTTAACTCTTATTAATCTTATCCATTAGAATTATTTCTTAAAACTTTTTCATTGAAAGTAGAAAAACATTTAGAAAGCAATCCAATCACAGGTTTATAACAAAAGAAAAATAAAAATATGATTAGAATAAGAATAGCAAGGATAGCTAGCAAAATGATATTTGGGATTTAACTCCATGATCTATCCCACCATTCAACAACAACATTCTATGATCCATAGACATCTTATAGTTAATCGATTACTAATTTTGCCTCAATTGTTTCATAAAATAAATTAGAACTTCCATAAATATAAGTAGCAAAGCCTAAATGAATTACAACAGCAATCCACAAATATTTTCTTATGGATTCACTAATTATCGAATCTATCCTAATTGGTTTGCGATAAGTAGTGAAAACTATAAATCATAATATTAGAATACTTGAAATCTTATCCACAAAATACAGGAACCAAATTGTTAGCATTGTAATGAAATATAAGAATGGGAGAGCAGGAGTATACATAAAACAAATATAAAGGGCTGTCAAAACCTGTGCATATCTTAATTCAACCCTAAATTATTCTCCCTTATATAAATCCTTGAACTCTTAATAGTTCTTCTTTCTAGTTTTTTTCTCGTTTAAACAACAAGAACATTAATCATATGCCTATCTTACATATCTTATGATTATTTCTATTAAAAGCATCATAGGCTAAGTCAGAATGTTAATCAATAAAGTTAATAACTATATTAGAAGATATATTATATACCAAAACAATTCCAATATTTTAACACCATTTAGAATCAATATCCCCATATTTTCCACCAAAAAGAAATCTAATGGCCTATGGAGCATCATCTCTTGTAGAATTACCAAAATCAATATTTGTAATAAGAAGAATCAATCCAGTATTTAAAAATTGACCTAGAAATATTTTTAGAATTCTGCTTGAATACTCTTCAGAAATCATCAAATGTTTTTCCCATTTTGACAGAACTAAACAATTAGGTTTTTTTTACAAATGAATATGTATTGAATTATAACGTTTACACCAATTAGTCCTGCTACAATAATCCAAGGTAGTGATTATTAAAATGTATACTATTTCACCCAATCTTAACAAATTTCATAATCTCCTGAAATAATATCATTAATCTTTGGCTTACAGTAACATTCGACATAACCTTTTATAGCAATACTATTTTCATCATCAATTTCTTATTGAACCTAAAGTTCTGTAATATTGTCATAGATTTTATTATTGCAATTAATAGAAGGATATTTTTATTGAAAATCAGTCTTTTGTAGATTCACCCAACTTACCAAAACCCACGAACCTGCTAAAAGTATTAAAGTTACAAAGAGACTGCAAAATTATCTCAAAATTCTTTGCTTTAGAGAATAATTAAGATTATTCCAATTGATATTCTCAGGAATAGGAGCATCTTTAACTTACAACTTATACTTCTTTAATAACCTAATTAAATGTTAATAAGTACAATTTTTTATTCTTTTCTTCATCATCGAAACAACAAAAACAGCAATAAAAATAAAGCCAATCCTTGGGTAGACTTTAAAGTTATTCTTAAACTTATTATTTTTATCTCATAGTATCGAAAGTAATCCAGATGTACTTTGAATCCCCTTCTGATTATAATGCTTCAATCTTTTAGGAAATCTCTTCTATTTCATTCCAATATTTTTAAATGTTTTTATCAACTTTATTTAGATTTTATAGTGAATTTGGATCTTCACATAAATGCTAAAAGTTTTAATAGAATTCTAAATATGTTTCTTTTGACATAATTGACATTTGAATATTTTTTTGAGCTTATTGATAGTATTATGATTTATTGGCTTTCAATTCGTCTAATTACTTTGAAATCATTTGCTTTTTACTTTTCAGTTCTGATTGCAATTTTAATATTTTTTCTTTTTCTGAAACTTAAATATCATAAATTTATAAATCTGCATCTTTTAGAACAGACTTTAATTTTTCATCAATAAATTTTTTCACTTCTGTTAGCAATACCTATTTAATTTATTGATTTTCATTAAGTTATAGTGATCTTATTAAATCTTCACATTTTGGTAGATTGGATATTTAAAGTGAAAAGTGTTATAAGGTGGGGGATTCTTTTTATGAAATTTTATTGTACTTTTTTTCACTTGTGGTTAAACAAACCAAAAAATAAATGAATAATAAAACAATGGCTGCATCACAAGATGCAAATATAATTGGTATTATTTTTTATTCCAATTAAACTGGCCCAATTGAAATCATGGATTCTTTGCATTATGCTCCAACAAATATTTTCATCCCACTTATATTTTCCTTATCAAAATCTGATTTTGTTAAGGTAATGGAATACTATTCTTAAGAATCTACTTGTTGTCTTAATGAATTCAATCTATCTTAATTAGTTACATTTAAATCCAATTCAGATTTACTTATATAAATACAATCCTATTCGTTTGAGGTAATTATGCCATATAAAAATGATGGTCCAGCAAGATTACCTGAGTCACATTACAAATTAAATTCAAGAGGCCCATAGCCAGAATCAAAGGATTAAATTTAACAATCTTTATAATTTAAACTTGTTGCGCCGATAGTGGTTGCCATTAAAAATTCAAACGGATTAGACGAATCCCTTGCTTCACTCCCAACATAAGCTATTATAATTTTCAAAAATATTACATAATACACTAAAAAATAATTATGGTATTGATAATATAGTGAAAATGATAAAAAAGTACCCTAACTTTTTTAAGAATCTAAAATATAGATTGATACCAACACCAAACTATTTAAAATGAGGTCTTGTGTTCTATGAACCACAACAAAAGGTATGAGAACCAATCGGAAGACAACATACTTCACAACACTTTTTATTTTATTTTTCTTTTTTATGAATCTATACCATAACAGAAACTATTACTTTCTAGAAAAATGTTTAAGGCTAATTAATTTCCTCTTGAGAAGGTGCTATAAATATACTTTTTCTAAAATCTGCTTGACTCTTGCATTTCTAACTTTAATTAAAATTTGTATTAGTTCTATCATTTTAATTAACTTGAAATTCAATCAATGGATGATCCTCCCTATATTATTAGTAAACTATATATTACTATCCATTTTGTTCTGCTTAAGTAAAATTAGGTTGAATTTCTTTTTTTTCACTCTATTAATGCTTTGCTTGAGGCTCAACTTAGTTTGTATCTGATCTCTAAGGAGAATTATCATTGTTTTAGTTGATTCGGCTATTGTTGTTACTCATGGTAATATCAGTATTAGATAATTATCAGATAGAAAATATAATATTTAAGTTTATTTAATTTTTCTGTTGAATTAATAGAATACTTTTATTGGCCAAGCATTATAATCTGTTTGTTTCTAAGTCAAAAAATAATCATTAATTATATTATCTAATCATAAAAAATGACCAGAGTTGTTGTAATTATGTAAAATGGAGTTAGAATAAAATATAACATAACTTCATGATAAATTTAATAATTAAAATAAGAAACTATTGAATGCTATTATATGTTATCATGTTAATCCATATCTATCGTAAACAGGATAATTAGGTGAGAAAAAATCTACAGCAACTTCCTCAAGTTAATTTTCATTAGTTGTTGATTTATATTCTAATATATAGATTTTCTGTTTTGCTTCCCTTGATGTAATAGATCCGTCAAAATATTTTTTAATTAGATCACTATGTTGAAAATTTCCAACCCACCATTTATAATAATAAAACTTTGCAAAATTCAAAAATTTTTCTTTCAAAAATATCGACCCTTCTTTTTCAATAAATTTAAAATTTGAGTTGTTTTTGAATATTAAATTGACTTAACGAAGCAATTTAGGCTTCGAGAGATTAAAATACAATTTAAATCGATTTGTTTTTTATTTCAAGATAAGAAGTTTCGAGTAAATTTAACAAGATTTACCATTTAAAATGTACAATTAATGAATTTTGGAAGGTCTTACTTAGCAATAAAGTAGAATGTTTGAATAAAATCTTAACATTATTATTGAATTTTAAATTAATAAAACCTCTATTTCTGGGAGGGATGGCAATACTAATTTGATTACTACATCTAAAGTCTAAGTGTTTCTTATTTCAAATATACTGTTAACGTAAAGAAGCACTAAAAAATCTGTATTCTTTTAAGGATGGATAGCTGATAGATATTAAGATCCTATCTTGAAAGTATTCTCCTGTTGTTTTTTTAAATCAACTTAAACAATCTTACCACGTTGTTAGCAAAGAAAACCATAAAGAACTTTACCACAAAAACAATACAATAAATCTTATTCTTTGGGAGATCCAATGCTTGATTGATTACTCCCAACATTAGGATCTCCTTCATTTTCTTCTTCATCTTATATGCGTTCAAAACTGCTATCAAACAAAAGTTCGTTATCTTCTAAGTATTCTAAAAAAATGTATTCCTATCCTTCATGAATTATTCCTATTCGATTTTCATGCTTTCTTAGATAATAATCAATTTATCCACATTCCATCATGATATTAGTTAGTTTAGATAGTTTAAAATATTAACCAGAGTTCTAATTCATAAAATAATTATTGTATTTGATAATCTTCAATATTGTTTAGATTGAGATAAAAACAATTTTAAATAGGCTGTAATAAGATGCATAGTTATAAATTCTGTTCAAAAAATTCAGAACTCAATAAGATTAGACCAATTAAAATAATTTTATTAAAATAGATTCGGATATCTCTTATGTGGGTTATCTATTGCTAATCGTTTTAATAATCTTATTATTGCTATATTTATTATATTAATCAGACTAAACTTAAGTTACTAACTGATGCTGTATCCCAACTTGTGTGTTTGTCAGTTCTTTTAAGGCTTATTAATTTTCTCAGACATGCCTTGTAGACAAACCTTTCCTCTTCACATTCCCATAAATAATGCTTGATCTTTTTAGTTAATGGGCGCATACTAGCAATATAAAAGAATTTATTACTATGTGTAATGAGTAGAACTATCTTGATGCATGGGTGTATGGCCAAAGTCCTAAAATAAACTTTTTGATAGTTACAATTGACTTTCCATCAGTTAACATTCTTGGCCACATTGAAGGCCAGCTGGGATGAATGATTTCCATTTGTTTAGTGTTTGATCTATTTGAATGATTAATATTTGATTTACTCGAAAGCACAGTCTTCATAATCATGCATCTACTTTAAACAAGGAGTTGTGTCTACGCTTAAAAAATGTTATACCAAAAACAGGAGGTACTGAAGAAGGCAATGTACCAAAATATAGATAACTCATAAAATAAATATAAAAATAATAATAATATCTAATTTTATTTACAGATAATAGAATTGGATTTTCTCCTCATTAAATTCTTCTCTTTAGAATTATAGAATAAATAATGCTGTTGTATAAATTCTATATATACATGTTAAAGATCTTGAGAATCTAAATTTAGACTGTTGTAATGAATTAAAACAAATTTAAGATTTCAAAAGAATGAAAAGGCAATAAAAAAACCTGATTTTCTGACTTAATTGGTGATGAATTATTAACTCAAAAATTGGGAAGAATATTATGAATATTTTATATAATTGGGACGAGAATCAGAGTTACTAAAAGTATTAAATGATTAATAGAATTAAATAATTATCAAAAGGGGGAAAAATATTGAATTTGCAGGATTTTATGTGGGCTTTTAGGTGAAATATTTGTGACTGATTCATTATTCTATTAATTTTTTTATTTAAAAAGAACCATTTTATAGTAGAATATAAATTATTATATTTTCTGATTATGAATAGTATAGTTTATTTTATTTACATTTAATATCACAATATAATTAATTTTTTTTCTATTATGGGCCACAAGCATAAAAGAAAAGGAAGAAGAAATAAACATCAGCAACCTTCTTTACCACCTTTGGATGAAGACTTTAAATAAATTCTCTATATGGAGGGTATCAAGTTTTAATAAACAAAGCTCTGGAGGGCATGAATAAATTAAAAAATTCAAAAGATCTCTTCCTTTAGAAATTAGTGAAGAATGCATATTTGTTATCAAAAGCATGGTTTGAAACCTGGAAATTGCACGTTGGATATGATGCTATTTTAAAGGGTGAATAACCTGGAGGTAAGAAATATGGAAGGCAATAAATTGGGGAGATAAATAAGGATTTAATAGCAGATGAAAAATTGTTTCATGCTACACCACAGATATATAGATAATTGGATCCTCCTTTGAATGATGTATAACCCGTCAAAGATTACATTCTCATTACATAAGAGGTTTGGGAATTCTTTTATGGAAAATACAAAGGTTAAGCGATTACAAGAATAGCAAATTAGTAAAATGAGTTTAATTTGAAGTTGATAAGTGTAATATTTAATTGATATCTAAGCCTAACATAATTTTTATGACTCAAGAGAAATTGAATGAGATTCAGTCACTTAATTAAAATTAATTGATTAGTTCCCTCGACTTATTGAGAATGAGAAAAGCGCAATTGTTTAGTGATTGGAAATTCACTGATTTGGAAGCATATTGCTAATAAATAATGGAGAGTAATAATATTTAAATATGGTTAATGAATCCTTTATATGAAAATAATCAGATTAAATTGCAATTGATAAAAACTATTCATTAATAGAAAAATGTTTTGTTGGGTGAATAATTAATAGACGCAGAATATTAATAATTTTATTTGTCACAGTTTTTAAAAAATCATTTTATTATGGTAGTATTTTAGAATGCAGTTGAATTATCTTAATTAGATGTCAAATTTGAGTTAAATTAGAGTGGATGTTGTTTTAATTGTGGATCGAAGGCTTTATTGAATTATTCATGTGCTTGCAAGAAAGTATTTTATTGTAGTGATACTTGCAGATACAAGGATTAAGAATTTCATTCAAGACAATGCACAAAAGCTTACGATTCACAAGATGATGAAGACTTTGATGCAATCACTTATGACAATCTATCTACTAAATATGGAGCAGGATTAGTACGAATTTGGGTAATACTTGCTTTTATGAATTCATCTCTATAGAGTCTCTTTAGTTCAACTCATTTCTAGGAATTCCTTTCGAACAAATAATATTGGACTTAGAATACTTTGAAACGAAATGTGTAACTCAATTACAAATTAGAGAAGCTCCTAAGAAACCTATTGACTCATAATGAAGCATTCTCTCCATATAGTTTCAGGTAGCAATTGGCTCAAAAATATCCATTTGTAAATATCTATATTCATAAATTAGTTTGGAAAGGATTATTAATAGGATGCTGCAGAATTTATACTATATCTTTTTGATGCTTTAAACGAAGAGTTGATATTGAAGGATGATAAATAGAAGCCTGAATAGTAATAATTAGAATTAGCTGATGTTGATAAGGCAGAACCTGAATAAGCGAATAGTGACAGTGATGATGAAAGTAGTGAAGAAAAGGAAAATCAAGAATCTTAAGAGTAATAATAGTAGTAACAGATGCAATTCCATAACAGAGTACAATAAAATGTAAATGAAATTATGAATTTAGTAAATCAACAATGATAATTATGAAAAGGCAGTAGAGATGATCCACAAACTAAATAGTTCACTCCTTCTTAAAAATTTCTTAGGAATCACTAGATCAATAAATTGAATGTCCAATCTGTGAATAAAAGACATAAAGTTACGAATAATTTTCAATATTACCACTCCCTTTAAATGCTGCATGTTAATCTAAGCGCAAACATTTGGTTGATGTATTTGTCATTTCAAATGATTGGTATCAACCATGTAAAAAAGTTGTTTATGAATATCAACCAAATACAACTTTGTTAATGGAGGTTAAAAGAGATATTGCAGAGAGATTGGGGATTGAACCTACGACTTTATTAGGAGCATTGTGTGTAAATAGTATAATAGATATGTATTTATTACATGATGAAGATAATCTTTCAAAAATCATAAATGATAATTAAAATAGTTACTTTTGCCTTTTTTAATTAGACCAGAGCATTTATTCTATAACTAATGAAGAATAATATTTTGATGTGATGATCTATTCATTTGAAAAAAGGAATGCATTCTCTTATTAATGTGAAAATGTATGTGTAGCCATTCCAAAGATATTGGTAGTCAAGAAATCATGTACTGCAGCTCAAATATATCAATAAATCTGGAATAAACTTGGAGAGCATTCCAACTCCAATTAATTAAAAGATATTTAAATTGATGAACCTTAATAGCAAAATCTATTAAATTCATAGTAACTCAAGGAAGCTCTGAATTACTAGGTAACCATTCAAACTAGATTGCCATCTAAAACTCCTTGTCCATTTACATGTGGCAAATCATTTAAAAAAGAGTAAAAACCTCATTCTTGTGAATTACCTTTCAATAATTCAACTACTTTGAACGACTATTTGAACAAAACAAATTATCCCAATGCTGGTACTTCATTATCAATTGAATTTGTGGAAAATGCCATACCTAAATCCATAAGAATAGAATTTGAACCTAAAAATAACTACTTTAAACATGATAAATGTAAATTAAATATACTATAAAGTAGCATTAGATCTATTAGATCTGATTGACAATTTCGAATCTAAGGAACCTTTAGTTGATGAAAATGCTTATCATTGTACCACTTGTAATGATTTAACTTTCGCCATAAAAACAATGAGTTTTTAAAAACTTCCAGATTAATTGATAATTCAACTCAAAAGATTTTAGTATGATGAACATAAGGGGTTCTAGAAAAACAATATTGTAGTCGCATATCCTGAAAATATAATCATAAATTAGATAGACTATGATTTATATGGTGTAGTATAGCATTTTGGAGGATTAGACAATGGTCACTATACAGCATATGGTAAGAGATCAAATAAATGGATTGAATTCAATGACAAATAAACAAAAGAAGTATAAGTGAATGATGTAATAAACGACAAGAACGCGTACATTCTATTTTATTAGAAGAAATGATTTATATCTGATGTATATTAAGTTAATCATTTTAATTTGCTGAGTGGTAATTCTGCTTTATAATGAGCCTTTTCGATAATAGGATCTCGACCTTCATTAGCAAAGAACGTTAAAGGCATGATGGCTCCTCCATTTTCAATGTACTTTGACCATTCTAATAATTCTTTTCCTCTCCATCCTGGACCAATTTAAGCATAAGATGGCAAGTCTTTATAGTCTACCCATCTTGCTTATTGGGTTTCTTAGCCATAGAAATAAATCACATACCTCTATCGGGTTTTTGCTTTGGTATTTACTTCTCATCTATGGGTTCTGCATAATATACTAATCGAACTCGAAGATGATTTTAATCGGGCTTCAATGAATTTTCAACTCTTAAAATGCCTTTGAGAACAACGTCTATTGATGCTTCTTCTTTGGTTTCTCGGATGGCAGCCTATTCGAAGGTTTCGGGAGGATCTACTAAACCTCCAGGCAACCACCATCCTTGATCTCCATTTTCCAAAATAGTGAGATATTGGCCTTTTGAATTTCTACATACAACGAGGGAGATTCCGAGAAGACTTGATTTTTGTTACTTAAACATTATGTTATTATATTATTGTTTAAATGTAAAATGAATAATATGTTTAATCATTATATTGAGATATTACGCAACATAATTTATTGATAATTTATTTTGAGGGTATTTAAATCTTTTTTCAAAAAGTCCAAATAAATTATATATTTTATTCAATAAAAATTCAAACACTTTTTTAAATCAACAAAGAGTCGAAGTTTATGTCCTTATCCTTGAAATGCATCTAGAGATTTGGTTCTTATCCCTTACCCAGAAAGATTGGTGTTTTAGGCTACGGTGCCATTGGGAGTGCATTTATTGAAGTTCTTTTGAAGAATCACCCAAGTATTAAATTGTTCTTTATTCCTAGATGCCCAAATAGTTGCTCTTGATAAATACAATGCCTTTAGAGCAAATGAGAATCGTTTCGAATGCATAATAGAAGAGAGAACCAAAGAAAATATAGGTGACACACTTTCAAGGATGGGGTAAGGTATTCTTCAATATCTAGATTGCAAAGCGGAGATATTTTAGTGGACTTGTCAACAAACATTGAATTCCTATCGATATGGTCCCTATGCGCAGAGAAAAAGATAAGATATATGAACACAGCCTTGGAGCAATGGGAAGATAGCGAGGATGCCAATTCCTGTCCTAAAAACAGCGAGGAAGCATACAAGCTCACATTGGGATACATCAAAGACAAGGCCAAACAATCTAAGTATTGGAATCCAAAGAGTGGTGCTACAAGCATTCTAGAAATGGGATTCAACCCTGGTGTTGTTTCACATTGTGTAAAGAGGGGATTAGAAGATTGTGCAAAGCATTACTTGAACCACGACGATCAGTTCAAAGACGTGAACAAATAATTGTTGAAGAAATATTTGGAAGCTAGAAATCATTCTAAACTAGCCCAGGTGTTGGGTGTTCACACAATACATTGTTCAGAATATGATAATCAAATGATGAAGGATATTCCAAAGGACATCAATACTAAGTTTTACAATACATGGTCCTGTAGAGGATTCTTGACTGAAGGACTCGTACCAATCCAAGTGGCCAGAGGCAGTCACGAGGACCCCCACATTGAATCCATGTACACAATCAGAGACGGAAAAACCATAGTATCAACTAAACCTTCAGTTCAAACCTATGCCAAGAGCTGGCTTCCCAATCAAGACATCACTGGAGTATTGATACCTCATGGAGAGGCTTACAGTATCTAAGACTATTTGGCTGACCCTGAAACTGGGTATGCCCCATCTTAGTACTACGTTTATGATTACAATCCTTTGGCCAAGAAGTTTGTAGCAGGTCTTCCAAAGGATGCCGACATCAACAACACTCACCCTGAAATGGAAGTCATTCACCCAATCAATCATCCAACCTTAAGAGGAGTAGACAAGGTTGGTGCCATGATCATTATGAATAACAACAGAGGCTGGTGGACTGGCAGCATTATGGATGAGGTCGATAGTTCGATGTTATTTAATGGAAGATTTGGACCCACAGTATTATAAGTTGTGGGAGGAGTTTATGCAGGATTTTTATGGAGTTGTATCAATCCAAATATTGGATCACATTTCCCAGAGAGTATTGACACTGATTTCCTTTTGAGCATTGTAAATTATTATCATAACAATTAGGGGTAAAAAACAATGGGTAGATTTGTTTCAGTTAACGTGGATTTGACTAAGACATCCATTAAAGATTGTCATAAGTTGCAGAGCTTCATTTGTGATAAGCAATGATTATTTAATAAATATGATTCAATTATAAATTATTTCTAAAATTTCTTCTTTTTTCTTAATTTAAATAATAATTACTATAATCACAGGTGTTCTGATTACTTTAAAATATATATTAATTCAATAAATAGTATCTTCCATCTTTAATTACAAATGAGAGGATTATTTCTTTAGTTAATGTTCAAGATTCATTCCAAACGATTCCACTCTTTTTTGCTTCTCTGCCTTATAGTTGATAATGCAATATATGATGAAACTACAACTTATTATCAATGGCAACCCAATCAAAAACACAAAGAGCAACCATTCCGTTTTTATATATTGTTTATATCCAGTGTTTGATATAGTTATATCCATACATAACCCTTAAATCTCGTTTAGATTACTTGGACATAATTACACATTCAATAGACTCTTTGGAGTACTATTTTAATCAGCCTTAAAAATATTATTATTATTCTAATTACTATTAATGTAAACTGATCATTAAGAGTGAACCATCTTAATTAAAAGTCCTATTAGTTATAGTCTTATTCCAAAATCAACATTCGAACATGCTCATTCAAATACCCCTTTTATATGTCTAACAACCTCAGATTGCCTTGTATCTCAGCAGCTTGGATGACTGATTTCACTGAATGATTTATCTATTATTGTCCCCTTAAGAACAACTTAACAAATTGAGTTTGCTCGGAGTAGTTTCTAGATGTATTTCTACAACTAATAGCAAAGTACTCATTGTAGGAAGCTTTCAATGACCCAGGTGGACTCTGACATTGAGTATATTGTCTAATTCAATTTTCTATCTTACTTAAAAATCTATTCAATCTCAATTCTTCCCTATATTTGAACTAAATCAAAACTGAGGGAATCCGTAGTTACATTAATGGTGTAAGTCGAATCCTTCAGAAATTCAACTTCAGTGTCGATATATGTGAATTCAATTTGATTCTGCACAAAATTACTCACTAAATATATAAAATAAAGATTTTACTTAGTTCTTTGATGTTCAGAGTTTCCACATTTAACAACTTATACGATGGTGATTTATTAGCATGGTATGTGAAGCTAATCTACAACTTAAAGAGATTAAATGAATATTGATCATTGAATACTAGTTCGATTATGGTTTCAATCTAGATATTATTGCCATCTTGAATGGCACACCCCTTAATACAATACATCTAAAAATTGTTGACTATCAATGTATTTTTATTAAAATTAGCTGCTCCAATCACATCCAAAAGAGAACCATTCAAAAGTGAACTCTTACTTTAATCTAAGTACCCATAGAAGATACAAATCAAATTATCTCTTGCCTTGTCTTCTGTGTCATATCTTTTATTTCCCTTGACCATTGCGGTGATAGTGATGAATTTATATTTGGGTTTGAATTGAATTGGAAAATTGATCATTTTCACATCTTCCAAAATAAAGGAGCTTTAATTTTAGTATAAGAAATCTTTGAAATTGATGTTTAAGAAGAAGAAGTTCTCCAAGAACTATTTTTCAATTGGCTGATTGTCAGATAGGATTGTGAAACTCAATTAGTTGATCTAATTAGTAACATCAACTCTAACCATCATAGATTAGCAAAACAATGCTATTACATGAATGGCTGATAGTTCAGCAATTGACAATGGATTAATGAAGGATTTCGTACAATTGTTAACAGTAGGTTAATCCTAATCAAAGAACACATTCTTGATCTCGTCATAATCTATTGTGCTCTAAATTACTTATTTGTGATCTATGTTGTTATATATATATATATTTTACATTGAGTCTAAGGAATATCTATGATGCCTATGGTTTCATCTCCCAATATGATTAAGTACTCTTTAGAAACACTAGTTCCTAAGATTGTTTAATCAATTTTAAATCTAACTAGATTATCCTCCTATTCCCAGATAAAGGGCACCATTTTAATATTGAATTCCTTAGCATTTTACAATTAATAATTGAAAATAGGACCTGAATAGTAATCCATAATCTTTAATGAAGTCGTGAAGTCGGTCTTGTAGATTTCAATTTCTGGCAATTTCTTTACACTCTTCTCGATCATTGTATCCTAATACCTAAAACTGCCATTGATCGTCAGGGTCTCTATAAATTTTAATAAAATAGTACTTTAGACACTGTAGCTTAATGCAGATTAGGCATTGATGGCCACAGAGAATTGGTTGTCAATATTGGTTGGATCAGAGGCAATTAGTTCAAATTCAAGCATTTTATTAAAGTAGCAATTGATATCAGCATTTGTGAACTACAGACAGTATAGGAAGGTCTGCATTTTTGGGTAGCAGATGGTTATAGGTTCTGACAAAATAGAATATTTGTGGATTGCATGTAATCTATCTGATCCAGTCTTGGACAAGTCATAGACATACAATTCATTTGGCTTATTGGTTGGCACTATTAGCATATAATAATTGATATAGGTTTCATTTGCGTTGATTATGCTATTGAATTAGGGTAACAATGAATCAAATTTAATATCTTATAAATTATCGATTGTGTAGAGTGTTATTCTATCATCTACGATAACAAGTGTCAGTATTGGTTTTTTAAGTTACAACACAAAGAATTTGAAATTATGAGTCATTTATCCCAACTCTATTTCTACAATGATTGTCTTAAAATGATTGACTTTGAATTGATTCGTCAGTTGAATCTAATATAACTTATTCTGGTGACTTCCGATAATGAGATCATTCTTTAAAAATTGAAAATTCAATTGTCTAAATTTACGATCAATTTCAATTGTTATTATGTTTTTAAAGTAAATATCAGTGTAATATATGGTGTTGTTTGTGCTGAAAAACAAATTGATATAATCTAGATCTACAAAGACTTCGTACTGCTGATCGAAGAGGCTATACTCTATATTCTAACAATCAAAATCTACAACACCCTCTTCCACTCTCTTTATTTTCAAGACAGTGTAATAAGTGGTTTTTTAATAGAATATTATGTAATATGGTGAAATGCTGACTATATTCTTTACAATATTGACTGATGAGCAATCCAAAGAGTAGATCTTCTAAGTAAAATAATTTGTATTAGGTATCTCCTATTGAATAATCATCTTCACCTAATCGATTTACAAGAATATAGTTCTGAATCCTTTATCTAAGAATGATTTAATGGGGATGCGAGAATGCTATATAAAGTGTTAATATAAGTCTTCCCACATTTCATATCCAAAGCCAGAAAGGCTTATGACTTCAACATCTAATCTAATATATTATTGATACTTACTTTTCTTATCGCTTTTGGGTGAAAGTATTGTGGCAGGCCCCCTTATTAGGGTCGAATAAAGGACAGTCGAATCAGTATTGGGAAAATTGTAATTTTGTAGATGGTCTATTTTGAATACATTTGTGCTTTCGAATTGCTGATTATAAATCATGAGCGTGACATTCTGATTGTTCATGTTTTTATATATGATAGAACAAAGAAACTCTTCATTTGAGGTGGACACTACAGTTAATCTCTCTATTTCATTTTTAATTAGAGACAGAATGGCATGAGTTTGATTCACCTGCTGAGTTATCAGTATGTTGGTTTGTCCAGTTATCGTGGAGAATGAGACAGGGTAAGTCAATAGCATAGGATGTTGGTAATTATTTTGAAGCAATAATTTTTCAGTGTAGGATTGATGTCTATTAATTCTGTAACATTCAATGGAATTTTGGATGTAGGTAAAGCAAGTATAATAGAACTGTTCATCGTATTAAATCTAGGCCTTCTTGATTTACTTACGGTTAAGTATGGAGTTGAGATTAATTTTGTCATTAATGGATAGTGTGGTAAAGAAGAAGTCTTTAGATTTTTGAGGTAAGGCCAACTCATAGATAAAGTGATCACTCAGTATCACAATGCTGTATTGGATGTCATTTTCAATGATTCCTAAGGGTGGGAATCTGATGGCATATTGTTCATGTGAGTAGCTGAGTGCATAAAACAATTCATTGGGTAAAAATAATTACCATAATAATTGTTCATACATGACTTCCCCATCATCTGTGAATGTAAATCTGTATACATGCAATCCTGATCGATGATCTAATATCATGAGAGTGTTGTCATCGAAAAAAGAGACCTTTTCAATCTCATTGATAGGACTTTTGAATTGAACCATCTTTATAGAATTAGCTTGATTGTTGAATTTACCAATCAAGAGCTATTTGGTGATTTGGAAATTCTCTTGGGAAGAACAATAGATGCTAAAGTACTCAGGATCTTTGACTCTCCAGGAACTCTCAGTGATGATATTTAAATTATCACAGTTGTTGAGTTGATCTGTGTCTAAGAACAATTGTGAGGAGCAACCTGATAAATATTTATTTTCTTCAGCTATGCATTCAATTTTGGAAATGTAGATATCATTATCTGATCTACAGACAGCCATGAAAATATCAAGGGAGTATTGAGTCATGTCGCTACAGGTAAAATCAGGCAGAGTTTTAGTGTTGAGATCGATTGTTCCCAATTCTTTAAAGGGGGAATTGAATTGTTGGTTATCCTTAAAGAGGATGGTAATTTTGCCATTCTTTTCCAGGATAAGTATGGTATTCTAATCATTTGGATAGTAGAGAATCTAAAATATAATGATGTGATAGTACTTGTTCGATTTCATTTTTTTATAGTTATTGAATTTATTCATTAACTTTATGTTCCTGGATGTAAATGGAATTCTCATCACAATCTGTGTAAAAATCATGCTTGTTTATATCGCAAATCTCATGATAATGATCTCCTTTTGTGAGCAATATTAATTCACCAAAAATTGAATATACTATCAAAGAGCCTATTATAAAAAGATAATTCATATATTTTAATTATATTTATGTATTTTTTTATGCAAATTTAATCAATCGAACAACTTCTCCAAGAATGACTTTTCTTTATTTGATTTCTAAGCAGTGCCAGCCTATTGTGGTTAGGATGGTTATTGAGGCAATGGAGCCTATTGATAGGGTCTAGTTCTTCCCATATCTTGAGGGATTGATTGTTGTTACTATTGTTAAGGAACAGATTAAGCGAACTGATGAATATTGTTGAATAGATACTTAAGATGGTGCCACAGTCTGTTACAATTAAGGATTGTATTGTGTAGTTTGAGTTAGAGGCTATTAGGTTTTAGGCTATTGAGGACCAAGGGATTGTTGTCCATAGACTGGCTATTGAGTGGATGGAATTGAATATCCTTGATTAACTTGAGTGGCTGGAATGGAATAACCCTAATTAACTTGAGTGGCTGGAATGGAGTAACCTTGATTAACGGGAGCATTTGTTTAGATGGCTGGATTGACAGGTTGTTGAGCTTATATTGATTGACCATAATTCAAGGGGACAGTCTACGATTATGGATAAGTAAATACTTAAGCAATTTATAATTAAGGTTGAACAGTTTGTGTGTTTTGGATGGTTTGATATTGTTATTGTGGAACATATTGTGTGGTTGGCAGAGTTGGTTGCAATGCTACTGACTGTTGGATTTGTTGTTGTGGTACTACTTCTCTTTATTGGACATAGGATTATTGGGCTATTGGTTGTTGAATGACTTCTCTGGTTTGATATTGTTGTTGCACTTAGACTGGCTATTGGTATGCTAGGGTTTATTGAGGTTGAACATATTGTGCGTATTGTTGACTCAAGAGTTGTGTTTGCACTGGAGTATAGGTGGCTGATGTTTAGACTTATTATGATTAATATCCGATTGGCTAAGTTTATGATTCAATCTTACTTGTTGTATCACATTCTATCTTTCAACAGTGTAATATTCTGTTCTCTCTGCCACTCTCTCAACTGGGACGTATTCTATCTGTTTCTCTTGAATTACTTGGGGAATGTATTCGATGTCATATTGGACTGCATAATAGTCAGTGATTTATTTGGTGATGGGTACTTGCACTTGTCTTCTCACTTCTTCGTATTCGGTTATTGTTCTCTCATATGGGATGTACTCGATTCTTGACTATCCCTTAACTAATTATCCTTATTGGGTTTCAGTTGTTTGTGGGGGAAGTTATTAAATTTAAGATTGCCCAAATACTGGTTGTTGAGTGATCGGCTATCCGATAAGTCCAAATTGTGGTTGACCATACAATTGTTATTGTTATGGTTATGCATTTTATGGCAACCCACCTATTTGTTAAGGCAGATATTGTAATCCTTTATCGCTAGATTGTTGAGGTTGATAATTGCTCTAAGGAATTTGTTATTATCCTAGTGTAGGTTATTGGTAAGTGGATGGATCTCTGTTGTAGGAAGGTAAATTCGAAGGTGTTGAATATTGTTGTTGTGGTAAGTTAGCCATAAAAAGATTTTTAATAATTAAATTTTATTTGTTTATTCATATATAAATCCAATCTATGTTAAAAATATTAAATAACAATAAGCACTAATTAAATTTCATTTTATGAGCAATTTCTATACATTCATTTGGATTTCATCCATTCTTCATCCTGCATTCATCATTACACCCTCATTGATACTTGTTTCTATTTCCTATTCCTCTAAAGTGTCTTTGTCTACAGAGTAACTACAAACGTCAACATGTTCACTTTATCATATAAAATTCTCCACTAATTTTTATAATCAATTAAAATTCAAGGCTTTTCTTACAATATGTCTAACAAACCTACTTGGATATCACGATCACTTTAAGTCGAATTGTAATAATATCACACAATTAATTAGCAGATTGATATTGATTGCTTTTCTTTAATTTTATAATCTTACTCCTCAAACATAATTAATTAAATAAAATGTCCTTTCGCAATCGATAGAAATAAAAACACGCTTCTGGAATGATGAAAGATGATTTAGATCTCAAAGATATCAATGAACCTGAAGAACTGGGTCTAGATCAAAAGATGGATTGGTTATTGAGCAAACAAAAATACCACTTTAAACGTGAGATTTCTTACAAAAGACAGCATATTCTGAATCTTATCACTGAACAACAGTCATCAAGCACTAAACCTGCTCAACCATCACAATAATAATCCACCATTTCCAATAACACTTCCTCATTATAGGATGCCATACCCAAAATACATTTGGATTAAGGAGACTCTAAAAATGAACACCAATATGCGTCATCCAAGTTCTCTTAATTGAACAAGGAAGCTCCTTCCCCTTCTGTACCCAATAGATTCACCTCAAAAAAAAGATCTTAGTTTTCATACTATTCCAATGATTCTTATAATTCTAATTTAGAATTGCATCTTGGCCAAAAGTAAGAGTCGAACAATCAACTCTCAGAAACCAGAAAGGAAAGGTCGAAATTAGTGAGCAATACTATGAATCAATATAATCAGCAATATTTATTAAGATAATCGAGAAACTAAATCATTAATAAGGTTAATAGAAACAATCCTAAGTCCTCCTTGCTTCAATTAGAACTATCAGACAAATCTAATTCACAAAGATCAATCAGCACTCCAAAAAGCATCCTGAAAAATCCATCATCTCTCAATTCAAGTAGACTCAGTTTTTGCAGTTTGCAACTAGGCAGTTAACTAAATACACAATCCCCCTCCAAAAAACTCAAAGTTAAGTTCTGCTTGACCAAACAATAAGCAAGAAGAGAAAATATTCCATGTTGAAAATACTAATTATTAATAATTATACTCATTTCATGGTTTCAAATTTTAGCTTATTTACTTTGTTTTATCAAAGATTTTCCTCATTTTCTGATGTTTCCTAATCAACTAAGAACAGTACAGAGTGATTATCTCCTTCTTGTCAATCACAGTAAATGGACTAGAATCAATGTCATTCCATAACTCCAACTCCACATTACTCAGGATATTCTTGGTCTCACTTATTGTTGATATCAAAATATTGTAAATGTAATGGTTTTACATCTCCTCCTTGCATATTTCCTTCCAATTCTTCTCCATATCCTATTTAGATACATCCTCCTGCATCTGCTTCTACATCATCGCCAATTTCGTTATTGACTTCAAAGATATTTGCTTGTTCATCTACTACTGCTAATTACTCCCTGATTAGGATTGCAATATTGAACTGAAATCGTCCTTCATCACACTCCTGTTCATTGCTGCGGATTGTTTCATCTTCTATGACAAATACATTTGATACTGATAGTTATTACTAAGATCCAACTGATTCATCAACTCCTTCTCCTGAAATATTAAATCCCTACGAATTTCCAACTACTCCTTAATCAAAGCCACCATGATGTTGTGCACTGCGAATAAGAATAATAAAATATATGTAACTATGTAAATCAACGACACTTCTAAACTGACTCCTCTTGAACTATCCCGAGCCACATCAGATATTGAGTCTCCATAAATTAATGAGAATAGAGCATTTATTGAAGACGACAAACTCACGAATTAATGAGAATCACTAAATAAGCACATCCCCAATAATGCATATCCTAAAAACACTGGCAAGAAATTCAAAATAGCCATACAAACTGGAATTATCGAGGATTCCAATACAGAGGCAATCAAGTGCAATTCTTCATAATAATCCAAGTACTTCACTATAGAAAACCAGGCAAAAAAGCATCCTAACCCAGCCATCAATTCATCATATTATGATAGACCGTCCACTCTTATGAAAGTCTCAGATACTAGTATACCAGCTGATATCAATTAAAGGATATTTCCTAATATTCTTATTGGCAAAAATAAATCAAAAAATAACAATTTCTCCTTTATTGTTAACTACTCCCAAGGCTTTTACTCAGTCAAAATGATCTTTAAAGTTGTGAGATTCTAATTTTTATACAATTTATAATCTGGGACTTTTAACTTCCTCTGCTTCTTCAATTTTGAAATATTATTTGTATACATCTCAATGACTTCATATATGTATTTGACTCCCAAACAAACATCAACCAATGCCAATAAAATGATACTCAATTACAATAACAAATTGTCTATTTTTAGTGCAATACTATTAAATGCCGATCCATGTGCTTCTTCCCTGTTGTCAGCACAAATTCCACCTATAGATGAAATGATAGCATCAATATATCCATAATTTATAAACTAATATGTAATTTATATATCCCAACAAGCAGTTCGTTATTATGATTCCACTTTGACTTTATTGACTGTTAGTGTCAATTCATAAGCATTAGTCCAAAAATCACGAATTTAATCATCATCCTCCAAATTGAAGGGATCAAGCAAGGGTTCTCCCAAAGTCAAATTTCGTACAAAATGGTAATCAAACCTATATGCCTAATAAGGATAGTTGTAATTAATCTAAAAGAAAGTTTCGCCTAAAATAGTAGTTTTCTAAGCTGTGATATCATCAATATTAGCGAGGTTGTTAAGTGTGTTATTCAGAGAATCTTAAAAGTCTTCAATTGTAAGTAATGTAATTTTATTATTCATAGGTTCATCTGGATTCAATAGCAATGCCACTATTAATCTATTTAGTTACAATACCAAATTAAATTATTTGTCCTGAACTATTATATGTGTAATGTTCAGAGATCAATATTACTTAAAATGTGGTCATGAACACTAGAGCGCAAGATATCAGAAACTTGAAAGGAAATCTGCCATATTTACTGTACTTTTCAAAAGGAGAAAGAGTAAACTTATCCTTCAAAGTTTCTGTATAAATGCCTTCAAACATAATATTCTATATTGTTGTTATATTATAATTTTTAATTCAAGAGAAATCCTTCTTAATAAAATTGTCAACTGTCTTAACCTCTGGCATTGATGACATCATTATCATTTTACATTGTTAATAATGCATAAAAATGCATAGCATTATAGAATAAATTCTTTGGGTCCCAATATCTATTTTTCTTAAATCTAGAAAATTATTAAACAATCATTATTTGAAATTCTGGCAGGACCTAACTCAATTATCGATCTATAAAATAGACAATGCAAGCTTAAGTGAAGCATTCTCCAGCTCGTATATAATCAACAATTTTATATTCTTCTAAGATATTAGGATCTTAAAGTTAAATTAAAATAACGACTTAATTGTGTTGCCGTTTGACATCTCACACTGTAATTTTAAGTTATAAGTATACTTCAATTTGATAGTAGAATTCAATCTTGATAACGAGTGAAGATCTTTTCATGAATAGTTTTTGTAAGAAACCTTAGAAATATCTTTATAGAAATTTAGACTCTACAATATTTGGACTTGCCAACATATTTAAATTCTGTTTCGTTCTTGCTTAAAATAGTCAAATTTTAAAGAAAATCCCTTTTTAACCTCTCTTCTTTTCTTCCACAATCCAATACTGTAATCTTATGATTTTAATTCATCTATGAATTAGTATAAGTCTTTAGATATTAAAGATATAAATTGATTGTGGCACTTCCATCCATAATTACAATAGATTTCAATATTCAATTGCTTAGTAGTATTCCTATAGTAAATCATCAAATGACCTATAAACCATTTGCTCCTGCAACTATAATGATTAAGTTTTCCACTTCTATTTAAAAGATTATAGCCTATCCTATTCATTGATCTACTTTTCTTAATGCTGTTAAATTAACTCCTGATGCTTCTAATCCTTGACTAACAATTAACCTAGTTCATCCTTTCCAAATTGACGAGCAAATATAATCTTGGAATATTAAGTCATGCCGATGCTACACCTTGATTGGCTCCCTTGCCTCCTTGTTTTTAAATAAGATTTCTTATAGGAATGAATTCTGAAATCCATTAGAAGCAAGAGTCTCTACTTCTTCAGGAAAGTCTTTAACTTCAAGGAAATGATGAGAATTTGCACTACCTAATACTCAGATCTAGTATTGAGATTATTGCATATATAAAATAAATCACTTTTATTATCTTAATTACGCACTTTCATCATGCTAACTACATACTTTTTATAATTTTTTTAATTATTCCGCTGGTTCAACATTCTTAATTGGTTAATTGGTTATTTATTTAACTTTCGACCCATATTACAATGAACTTAAGGACTCATCCAAGTTAATAAAGGAAGGCGAAATGTTTATGATCATGATTGTTTTTGACTACAATGATAAATTAAAAATACATTTCCTCCCAAGCAATCCCTCATTAAGTATGTGAGTTTACTATTCCTGTATGGGATGAAACTACTCTTTGTTGATAGAGCAATCATCACATCATTAAGAGCAGAGAGACTTTTATTGATGAATTTAGCTTCTTCCAATTGATTTGGTTTAAGTCTTGATTTGTTGCACCTTTCTGAGCCAGCCAAATCGATTAAATTAACCCTACTAATGAATTTCTAAAATCAATCTAATAGCATACTTATTAAGTAATTTTATTAAAAGTTTCAACAATAAGTTAAGTGCACATATGAGATCTTGAACTGGAGTCATTCATTTCTGTTAAACCTTATTTTCTTCTGGAGGATGCAAACTCAATCAAGTTCATTAGTTCGTGCATATTTTATACTTTAATGTTGGTTAGATTTTGAACAAAGACCTAGCCATTAAGATTCTCTTTAAGTTCCAAACTCTGATATCCTTATTAGTCATTCAGTAAGTCGATAATATTCTCCTTGTAAATCTCAAGAGAATTTACTATGATTGAACACTCTAGATTGCTTCTTTTGATGTAAGTATAGATTTCTTCTATTAAATTAGGAATGACTCCTGGTTATTGTTTTGTCCCAAACATAGTGTATGTCTTGCCACTACCAGTTTAACCATAAGCAAAAATGCACAAATTAAAACCATGGAATATGGCCTGAAGAGATTACTATATCTCCTCATACATGTCTTACTATGTAGATTATTGATTAAAGCAGATGTCAAAGTTGAATATTTTCTATTTTAATGAGATATGCTACTCGTCTATGAATTAGACTTCGCAATCTAATTTGTATTAAAATTTAATACCTTTTAGTTTATCTGAACTGTTCGAAGGTCTCACTCTACAGTAGACCTTCACCTTCCCCTTCAAATCTTCTAATTAAAAACTCAATCTCCTGATCTCATGAGTTTTCTGTCTCAATAGTTCTTGCATTTAAATGATCTATGATGCATCTATCAAATTGCATTGAACTCCAACATTCTTGCAATCTGTGCTATCTTAAATGATAGTACTGCGATCATTCAACTGCTTCTTCAAAATAGTATATTGATAAAACTTGGTACTAATCGATTATTTATCATTAAAGGATGGTGGTCTACCTTCTTTCCTAAGAAACTCATCTTACCATTAAGTAATTTCCCGCTTAATTAGCTCCTTCTGTTTCTTTAAGTTAGTTATGGGATCTTGCATTATCTTCAACATCATCCTCTAACCTTTGTTTTTATTGGACATTATGCTCTAGTCTCCTTCAGTCTGTCCCACACTCTCTAATGTGTGACTGTCCTAAATTTATTAATTAATCATACTTTGAACAGACTATCCTATTTCTAATTGAAAGATGTTTATAAAAATGAAGTAGCCACAGTGGTCGAGTAGCCTTATTGAGTGCTTTTCAATTTATCACTCAGATCCACAATCTCCTATTTCTACTGACTCAATTCAATTTAGAACACCATTTAATTTAATTTCAACTCTGCTTCTAACCGATTAACTTGTTCTTCATAATTCGACCTGCATGACTCTAACTACAATAACCTATACAAATGCTACCTATAGTTCGCACTCCTAGATTATCATCTCTTACTGCTGTAATTGGTCACTCTTCCTTTGCAATTGACATTGTAGTTCCTGAATCAAAAATTTGTATTCCTCTTTCTCTCGAATAAGCTGTTTGATTTGCGAAATAAATTGTTTATTCATCATTTTCATTTGCTTCACGAATTCAAGCACTTCATCCTGGTCTATCAATATCTAAGTATCATCTATATTCTCCTTGTTCGAATAACTCATCGCTTAATTTAAAAAACAAAAAATGTTATAGTTAATTAATTATTTATGTTAAAAGCACTCTCTACACTCTATCTAAATCGACAGACACCCATTGCCCAATTCGCTAAGCAAATCACATTTGAAAAATGGAATGTGATCAAAGGTGACAAAGTCGTTGTTGTCTCAGGAAAGGATTCTGGAAAAACAGGAACAGTTTTGAGAGTTTATCGTAAATCAAATGAAGTGCTCGTCCAAGGAATCAACTAGAAATTCAAAAGAAAGGCCTAGTTAGATGATCCCTCAGGCTCGGGTATTCAGCAAATCACTAGACCCCTTCATCTAAGTAAAATAGCACTCATTGATCCTGAAAAAGGCAAACCAACCAAAGTATAAATACACTATAGGATTAGGTTCAAAGAGGGTTTTTAGAGGATGGCACACCTGTGAGAGTGTCAAAATTGAGCGGAGCTATTATCCCAAAAGCTGTGGATCCTGCCAAATCACCTGCACACAGACATAAGAATAAAGTGGATGGTATCAAAGATACATCTCCTGCTCTTGCCTTGTAGGTCACTTATAAAGGTGAAGACTTTTCTGCAATTAAAGCCGAATTTGATTCATTCATAGCCGAGAAAGAGAGAAAGGAATAATTGTTATGGTTTGATAAGTGAATAATAAATATATAATGAAATATGATAAAAACAATCATTAAAATTCTGATGTACGGCCAAATCCGAATAAATCTAAATATTTAGGAATGAATACTGCGTCCATTGATATTAATAAATATCGCGATCTCAAATAAACTCAAGATTTCAATTTATAAGGCAATCTTAATCTATGTATTATCTTTACTTATTTACTTATTTAGAAATAATTAAAACTATATCCAACACATTTGAAATCAATACCATATTCGACCTAGATCTTAGCAATTAAAAGATTGAGAAAATTGATTGTTTAGCAGAATGTATTTAATTAGTATAATTGAATCTTCACAATAATTCAATTAGGTATCATATGTTATCATTTATTCCAAGCGACATTTCACCATTGAACACTCTGAAGTATCTGTCCATTTTGAATATTTCCAATAATCAAATCGCTAAATTAGATTTAGTTGGGTTAAATTCACTTCAAAATTTGGAAGCTTAAGGCAATCTTATTTAGAGTGTTGAGGCCATTAAAGATTTAGATAGCATTGAGACCTTTACTATACTCTATTTATAATTACCATCAGGTGAACTAAAAAATCCTATCTGTGATATTAATAACTATAGGAATTAGATATTCAAAGCTATCAAGTCACTTTCAAGGCTGGATGGCTATACTAGAGAATAATAATGTTTACATTCTGAAGTTTAGTATATTGAGGAGATAAACATAAAAATAGAGATCCAAAATAAAACAGATCCTTGGTATGCTTAATAAATCCCCAAGGTTTAAAAACCTACATCAGTTTAACTTGATGATTAGGAACTTAAACAATCTGTAGAAGAAACGAAAAGGAGTCTCAGCAATCTTGAAAAGAAATTAGCTTTATTAAAATGAATTAATTAATATATATATAATAATGTGGCTTAGATTGTCGTATTTATCATTTAGGTCATGCTTTAATAAGAAAATGGTGAATGGCAAATTTTTTGGTCCAGATATATCTGGTAGATATAAGGGCCTTTTGAGGAAATAATTTTATTTTCATGGACTCCCCTGGATTTATGAATAACCCAAAAACAGAGAATTAAGTCCTTATCATAGAAAACCTAAAGGACATAAACGAGAGAGAACAAGAGAATAGAGGTATAGTAGTTTGATGAATTAGAATTGAAAAAATAAAAAAGAATTTAATGAATTATGCTGAAGAAGAATTTAAATTCAGATAAGAAAGATTGAATAAAAGACCTCCAGGTGGTTTGGATATGTAATGGATATTGTTTACAATAGGATTGTATAGAAAATGATTCCCTCTTGGATACATCCGAAAACAGCTGCCTAATTGTAAAGTACTAAACAATTGCTGTTGATGAAAAGAGGCAGATAGCCCAAATAAGAGGAGGAATACAAAACTGATCAATATGAATTTTGATATATACGGACAAACATAAATATAATAAATAATAATTATGGATATTGAGATAATCAAAAATAAATATTATACCTAGAATTAATTACTTCCTCTTATTTTAAGTTCTCATTAGAAAGTTTTCAAATAGTATTTCTCATCTTTTATTCACATCATTCCAACATCAAATACGATTCTATCGATAAAACTATGGATATTGCTTATTGAATATTAATTTTTTTGTAAATAAACAACTATTTATAAGAATAGAGAAGAAATACTATTTAAACTTTGATCTTGTAATGTATAATATATCATAAACAACTTAATGTCAATGTATAATTTTTATCTACATAAATATCTACAAATGGACTCGAGCCATTTGCGATAAGAACATTACTATTCTAATAAGAAATCGTGCTGAACTATAATATAACATCTGATGAGGTCTAGAGTGTTATTTTTGAATTCATTTATTCAATTTATCTGTTACCTTTTGTTAAATAAATCTAAATATATGAAGAATTTACATTGTTTTAGAAACTGCACATTTTGTAATAATCAGAAATGGGTCTAATTTCATCGTCATTTCTTAGAATTGAATTCCAAATGACTAAGTAATTCTTATGCAAACTAATTATTTATTGTTCATCTTCCATATACAAAATCTAAATTGAATTTATCAAATATCACATACATCATTAACATATGATAATTCTTAATTTGCACCTTTAAAACTGAGCACGGATTGGAATGAATATGTTGAAATAGCTATCATTGATATATGTTGATATCTTACACCAAATTCCTATTATTCCAATATCTGATCCGATAGCTAGAAAATTCTGCCCAATCACAGCCAAACTAGTTATTTTCACATCTTTAATTGGTACTAAGGTATATATATTATCATTGATTGATTAAGTGATGTCGATTTCCCTTTAGTAATAGTAAATTCATAATTACTCAATTATATTATTCTCATGCTATAAATCAATAAAGTATAATCTAGATCCCACAGCAACAATAAGTATTTCATTGTTGTATTTAATAAATTCAATCTCTTCTTAAAAAGATTACTAAAGAAGTAGTATTTAGAATTACAATCATGATGGAGGAATTTAAATCTGTGTCAATAATTTGATTTGGAGATATCAATGATGACATTTAGACCTGATACAATTTATTAGCAACTACGCAATACAAATTCTCTTGAATGAGTAATATTTATTATATTGAGTCTTTGAAAAGAGGAAATTTATATGATGCTTTGTATATTAGAGTATTTTGTCTAATTATTTATGGATGATTATACGTCTTTTCTTATGTACGGCTGCTATTTTCTAGGAGAATATTTTCAAAGTCCCAAAAATAAAGTGCTCCAGTGTTAGTTGCACCGATAACATATTTTTGATCATTGGTAATTGCAATTGAGTTAATAATAAACATTTTTATTTATATAATTTTTAAGTCGTATCGTAATTATTCTGTTTATATAAAAATTTTAAAAGTATGTCATCACAGTTAAGTGCTTTAACTCTTCTATACTTTTTAACCTTCACAATGTGTTGAACAAGAATTTAAACGTTACATTTCTTCAATATTTAAATTTGGGACTTTTAAAGGGGGGAAATTATTAAGAAAAAAAGTATTTTTAATTATAGATATGGACTTTCATTAGTAGGACAGCGATTTATAAACATCTAAACCTACCAATCATATGACATCAAAATTGGTTTCTTAAGGTTTAGGTGTATAAGAACAAAGTGATTATAGCTATTCATCACAACAATTGTGTTCTGTAATTTATTCATAGTTATTAATGATAGAGTGAGCAAAATAGTGACAGGAACATCCATTTAAATATGAGTTCATTTAAAAAAGTTAGTAAAAGCTCTGCTGATCTCTAGAACTTGACTCTAAAACATGCATATATTTGTGCACATTATAATTTCTTAGGTAATTGCCCCTAAGAACATTGCAAGTAACCTTTTAAAAAATCTTTAGGAAGAGGCATATCTTTATTTCCAAAGAAGATGGACTGAGCGATCTCATATCAGATAATATTGATCTAATAGATAACCTAACTAGAAGCGGAAAGAAACTCAGATTGCAGCAATCTACCTATAAAACTTAACTAATATAATATAGAAAATGCAAATCCAATAACAATGAAATTTCTGACAAATATGAATCCAAATTCTCAGATTAAGAATAAATAATGTTCAGAGATTTTCCAATGGAAAGTTTGTGGAAGATGAATGATCTATCATTTTTAGCAACTCAAATCAAATCTCAGCCTGATCTCAATACTGAGTCCTAGAGTAAATCAAACAATCATTTGATAAAACCAAAGCCAAGAGTGAATTATAAATAAGTTGCTGAAATATTAGAGAATTCTATATCTCCTGTCTCAATTTCCTCTGAAATTAAGAAGAATCTCATGTCTAAACTCAAAACAGACATTGAGAGAATGCAAGAAAAAATTAAAATTATCACAATGTTAAAAAAGTGGATGAATGATAAATAAGTTGATTTCGAAGAATACATAACCTTAAACTCTTCCCTCTCATAAGTACAATAGATACATTATTCTAATTTCCTCAGACTTACAAATATGTCAATTCCAAGTAAAAATCTCATATTTATATTATAGATTAAGTAAGTATCAACTAATAGTTTCAAAATATCTAAAACATTTTTTAATGAGTTATTTATTATCATGAGTTATGTGAATAAAAATTCAATAAATTATAAATTATTCTTAAATTCTTTGTTTGGGAGAGTTCCATCTTGTTTAGATTTAATACTAATAACTTGACAATTGTTCAGAAATTTTTTGCTTCCTCATTTATATAATATTATTAAAACAATTTTATATAAAAATACAGAACATTATAATCCTATCTAAAACCTAAATAAGATTATATTATATTATAATTGCATTAATATTTGTAATGATCATATTTTTTCTTAAAATGTGCTATCTGATTTAGTTACTTTTTTATAGTCTGCTTACTGGTAGATATTATATGAAGTTCCCTTAGGATACCAATTTTCATCTAAAAAATGGATTAAGCTGAGTTTTACCTTCCATTTCTAATTATTCTTGGATATCATCTTGAGATTTCCAGAGTTCTCTTCTGCAATTAGGATTTCTTGGAGATGGGAATACTCTATCACTTTCTGGGATGTTGAATTAATCTTCAATTCCAACCATTTCACCTCCCCCTTTAGAAAATGCAAAGGACATAATTACATTCGCATTCGTATTCAAACCAGGTATTGGGAACACCAAGATCTAAATCACCAGTTGGTTTGATCATTGGATCTGACCAAAGAAAGATTTCCCAATGATAATCAATTAATTCCCTCACAGGAGCAAAACCTACAGGTAGTTTGGCGAGATCTTCAAGAACTTAGACATTCCATAAGATTTCAACTTTCTCTCCTTTTGAATTGGTAACGACTTATCTTGCAACATAAACGCTGTTTGGAACATAATCCACATCGAAACCACAGTTATAAACCAAATATGCAAAATCAACTTATTCTTATGGTGTCAATCCCATATTTAGGATCTTTTCAACTTCTCTTCTAGTGATTCCTACAAAATAGAATATAGATGGCACCTGGGACTCTTCTCATGATTTCATCGGGATCCATCTAACAACTCCATGTTCCTTATCTACCGATGGAAGTATTCTACCAAACAGCTCTTACATCTTCCATTCTAATTTTGATTATGAAGGATAAAAATACGTATAGGGTCCATCATAAGGAGGAAGAGGACCAGATTATCTGACTGGATTGACATGTCTGACATTTCGAACTGTAGTAGTTATGAATTTAGATTACCTGGGAGTGGGACTTACTATGATTTTGCGATATCAGCAATTTCCTTATTGGATTAGAAGAAGTTTGGGTTCAAATAATGTCTATATCTGTTTGGGTTATATGGGCCATCTAGAAGGTTTAAGTTGGATTTTTTACTTCTTGATGAGAATGTGAATGATGGCAATGCTTTACGAAACCCTGTGTTAATAGCACGATTAAGCATATCTATATATAAATTATTTATAAAATATATATATATATATTTAAATGAATTATATATATGGACAGCTTGTTTGAAGGCTTGGAGTCGCAATACTATTATCGTCAATTTTATAGTCTAAATTAATCAAAACGATATTATTATATATTAATTTTAATGAATTAGAAGAACAATAATTGTCATTATACTTCAAGAGATAACCATATTACCAATCCACCTACTAGAAGAGGAATTTCGAGTTTTCTCTTAAAAACTTACTCGATGGTTATGGTATTTTATACAACCCACTTTCTTGTAATCCAGACCCTTAATTTGTGAATCAAATATAATGATTTGAGAATTAAATTCTGGAAAATTACAATATGAACCAATATATTAATAAATTTATTTTAAACTAAATAATTAGAATCCAGAATTTGAGGATATCATCTCATTTAATAGTGCCGGAAATGCTTTTATAGTCAAGGATCAAAATGGATTTAGTGAATATGTGTTACCAAAATAATATAAACATCAGAACTTTAGTTCCTTCATAAGACAATTGAACATGTATGGCTTCAAGAAGATAAGAAATGTCAACAATCAGTATTAGTTCAGTCATCATTGCTTCTTAAAAGGAAGAGAGTAATCTAATTGATTAGAATAGAGATCTCCTTTACAAAATCATGAGGAAAAATGGCGTTATGCAGAGATGTCATTATCTCAAATAGCAGAATAAAGCAAAGCAGGAAGTTACTCAATTATATTCCAACTATTCAGAACTGAAGACAGATATCGAATAAATATAAAAAGAACTCATCTACTTCTATTAATAATTTGATTAAGTTACAATTATTGATATACTTCCTAGTTTTAAAGTACCCTATCAACTTTAATTGATTCCTCGAGACAATAGATTAGAGAATTAAGTATTATAAAAAATTAAAACTCCATTTGTAATGACTTACTTTTCTAAGTATTGGCTAATGTATCTTAATCACAACCTGAATAAAAATACCATTGTAAGTATTCCATTATATTCCCAATAGTCCAATATCCCTTTACTAACTCCACTCAATAAACTTAAACTACTAAAAGTAATGGAAGTGATAAGGATGAATTGAATAATGATAATGAAAATAACAATAATTCAAGCAAAGAGGGTAAAATTTATATTATTGTTATTATTTTAAGATACCAATCAAAGCTTTTAGAGCAATTCCTTTAGAGAACCTTAATAATAATTGAAATCAGATTGAGCCGAATTTGGAATTATATATTTCGAAAATGCAACTAAATTATTTATTAAATCATTATTCTTCTCAAACTTAATTTGTCACATGGTAGTCTGACAATTTAGGTTGAACCATTATTCTTATTAAAAAATGAAATTCAATCTGTTTTCATTTTAAAATAAAGACAAGTAAACTTATTCCAAATTAAAGGCTATAAAAGTAAATTGGATTTCCTTTGATTCCACTCAGATTGATTAAATTATTATTATTAATGGTTTTATAGCTCTAATATAAAATTAAGAAAACTAAAATTAAATTATGAGAGACATTCAAAATCCTAGGATGAATTAACTTGAGATGAAAAATACATAATCTATTTTACGATTCCTATTCTAAAAAAATTAATAAAATAAAAGTTCTAGACAAAAATCATTAGATAAAAGATGATACATTTAAAACTAATATATATTTAAATAGATTTGAATTAAATGACCCTTTTTTGTTGAAAGTAGTTTATAATGAAATACTTTAGCTTGAATCAAGAATTCACTCAATTTAAAAATAATAATAAGTAGTTTTAATTATATAAGTTAACTAAGTTTTGTAAGTCTATTTGGAAAATTAATTGACAATATTATAAACACAAGAGATACTTACAGATCAGCTTTTTCTACGTTATAAGTAATACCATCGCCAATACAACAATTTAACCAGGCCTTAAGTTCTGAAATTACAGGATTTGAGCTTTTCAAATATTATTTAGGAGCCTTTTTATCTTTTGCTAAGCAAAACATCAATTTTGGAACTGAGTATACAGTTACTTTAGGATGTTAATAATTTGCAACATCAATGCGGCCAATTTTAATCTTATCCTTATTTTAAATTAATGAAAAGCCATCAAGAAGCTTGAAATAATCTCAAAACAACTCTTAGTTTTTTGAATCCCAAAATAATAATTAAAAAAATTCTTTCTTTTATTGAGAACTTCGTATGAAAATAGTTTGTCCAAATATATTATATATATCTTTATTTTCTGTGTATTCAGGTATAGGCTCAGATTTATAAAATTCTTTTAGATTTTTATTTCCAAAGTCATCGATAAATTTTTGAATAGTCAATGATTCAGAGTTTTAGATTAGCAAATGTATTTTTAAAGTTGTTTTCTGTAATAACAAGTTTGGGTGTGTCTATGGATTAATCAAAATCAAATAAGGACCATAAGCTTCGATTTTCATGAAAGGTTGAATATGTAAAGAGCAAACGATTGTATTTTAAATCATTAAGTTTATTATTTTTAGCAACCTAGTACTAAGCATTAATAGATCTTGACTTATACTTCCTTTAATCAAGAGATGAACTTGAGTTTGAATTGGTCCTACAAAGACTCTTAAATAATTGTCCTCATTCAATCTTTTAAATAAATCTAGCCTTTCTTAGTACAAGAAATCCAAGATTTTGTCAGTGTAAGTCAAATTATATTCATATTATTCAAAATTGTTATTTCTTTTGTGCAATATGAGTGTAAAAGCAGCAAAATTCTTATAATTAGAAGTGAACGCTTTCAATCTATCAACTCTGGCTCTTTTAGGTCTCCATTTCTAATTATTGTTCTAAATTTTCAATGATTTAACTTCTAAATGTGTAATTATCGGACAATAGAACTAATGAATTAAGTTTGTTTTGATTAAATTTTCATTTAATTCATCTTCTGCTTTATAAAAATTATAATTTAACACTTATTATATCTAGCATAGAAATGAAATGATTACTGAAGAACTAAGATTAAAAGATTATCGAAATTCTGAATCCAAATGATTTTATCCAAGTTTTTGATCGCAATACCATTTTGTTTTTCAATCAATCCAATTGGACTTTTAATGAATATTATATCTATTTTTGTAAAATTTAAATGTATTTTTCTTTTAAATCATATGTTTCTTAATTAATGTCATATAATTTATCGAATAATTAATTAGCTTTGATTCCATTTTCTTGGATATCCAATTACTCTTATGAATTAAGATTAATCTTGATCTCTTCTTCAGTTTGATTGGTTAGATATAAAGATAGAAATATATACTGTGAGTTAAGGAGATGCAAATATAAGCAAAAGGGTCACTAAAATTAGGTGTTATGTTTTCATTTAAATTTATTATTGATATTTAAGTGAAAGACACAACTTATCAGATACTTAAAATTGAGACAATTTATAAAATTATTTATTTCAAAAATTTCTAGAATATTTCTAGTTTAAATGAATAAATAGAATTGGTTCGTTGTGATTCTTAAAATAATTAACATTAAAACAATCAAATACATATGGAATCAAATAAATATTGATGTTTATTGATATATAATAATTATAATTATAACAATTAACGTGATCAACTTGTTATAATCTTCTCTGCATTTGATTTTCTGTTTGATTAGCTAGAACTATTCACTTCAATATAGGAATCATAAGAGCATTGAGACACCTCACTTATCTTTTCATCCTACACCTTTCTTAGACTCAACTATTGAGATGGATCAAATTTGATGAATCGCATACAATTACTAATAAGGACGACAATAATGGAAGACAAGGACATAGCAGTAGATGAGATCATTGGAGATATTGTGAATCCTTGTCCATAAAATACTCCTGCAGCAATAGCTAAAGAATTACATAACATATTATACGAGCCATAAAAATATTATAAGCAAATGCCCATAATAAATTGATGTAGACAACTTTAAGAGCAACATTCATTAGATTGAATAATGAAGCTACCTTCCATAGATTTTCATTCAACATAATTACATCAGATGCCATTAAATTCAATTCAGATTTTGCATTGATTGCTACTCCCACACATGCTTATTGTAATGATAAGATATCATTTAATCCATCTCCGATCATCATCACTTCTTAATTGTTCTCTCTAAGTTCTTTCAAAATCCTCTGCTTTCCTTCTGCATCTATTTCAGAAAACTAATTGATTGATGGAATTCCTAAATACTTACCAACTGAAGTGACTGTTTTCGAAGAATCTCCAGATAAAATATACACTTGCTTCTTTAATTTTTCTCTCAAATATTGAATCACTGCCTTGGCTTCAGGTCTCAGATTAGTCTTATTATCTAAACAAACCACGACCTCTGGAATGTTATCAATAGCCATTATTATCACTGTTTTTCCTCTGCCTTCCAAAAATCTACATTTATTTAATAGATAATCTTCTAAAATTGCTTTATTATTTTCTAAATGTTTTAAATTTCCTATCAAACATTTAAATTAAGCTTTATCAGTAGTTCTTGTTACATTTCCTATAATTCCATTCTTCTCTAATTTTGGCTGATCTGTCAATACAAAAGTACTCTATTTACCAATCTATCTAGATATAGACTCCTTAAATAACAATGTAGCAATTGGATGAGTGAACTCCTTCTCTAATATACTTATAATAGCCCATAAATCTTGGACAGATAATGTCTGATTGTATTTTAGTTTTGATTAAAGAGTACCTTCACAACATTATTGTTCTCTCTTGGTCTCAATAGGATCAGACATCACTAAGGATCTCTAGAATTGTTTCACCTTCATTATTGTTTTATCTGAATTCTTTGAACAAATCTCTGTCTGATTCTTAGATAATAGAGTAAATGAATCTATGTGATCTACCTTGGTAAACAAAGTTCCAGTCTTATCAAATATTACGCATTTGACTTTACTGATTTATTCAAAAATAGTATTCTAATCCATAATCAAATATTTCATACCTTTTTTACTAGTATTCCAGACTTCAACGCTAAATTAAGAGTAATTATAACAACAGATGGAACTGCCAGACCTAATGCACAAGGACATGAAGCAACCAGTATTGATATGGCTCTTTCGAATGGGAAACACCACACACAATATTCATCAATCTCTACTAAGTCTAAACCAATCAAAAGCACCCAAACAAATAACACCAATAGAGCTGCACAAATAACACCAAGTACAAACTTTTATGATAAAGATTGCAACATTGCTGAAATTCCGAAGGTTTTGTCTTCCCTTTCTGATTATGCTAAATTTAATTATTCGGCTATTTGAAATAACATCGAACCCTCTATCACCTACTCTACTTAGAATATGCAGGAGCCATCCAAAATATCAGCACCAGATTTCAGTCGCATACCTATAGTGGCTTCGAATTTATCATCCCAACCGTAACATATTGAATCTACTACTGTTACTGAACCTTTTACTATGACACCATCAACTAATAATTTCATATTCTTCTAAAGAATGATCAAGTCTCCTTTCTCCAATAAAGATACTTCACATGGGTGTTATGTATCAATGTCATAATCCTAGTTTTTCACTTAAACTCTGGTTACTATTGGAGTTTTTAGTAATTATTCTTATGGGAATATCTGATTCTGCATATCCATAATTGTTTATTTAGCTTTACCTTCAAAATATTTTCCTATAGTTATCACTGTCAATATTAAGCCAGCTGACTCTAAGTCATGAATAACATTCATGATTCTTTCTAATTAATCATATTTGTCTGTAGATTATTTTTCACTCTCGATTGTATATACAATTAGCATAAAAATACTCATTACATAAGCAGCTAATGAACCTAAAGTCAATAATGTATCCATATTAAACATTCTAATATCTATGACAATTTATACTTGTATTTTACAAACAATTAATAGGCATTTTTATATGTTTATGTACCAAATTTCATTAGAGTCAAAGTTGTCATAACAAAAATGAAAATTAAATATACGCTAAAGATAGATTTCTCATTAGGGTAGGTCAAAACAGGTGAGTAGAATTCAAAATGAGGCATAATTGAACATAATAAGAAAAATAAAGCACTTAAAGTTATTGCCAAAATTAATTTTTTTTAAGTGACACTTTCAACAAGTCGTTCTTTTTTCCTAAATTTTTCCAATAATTAATTATAAATAATTAGACTCAAATCAGCGTCCAAGTTTTCTTTCTCATCATTTTTTATTATCTTATCTTTCACAAATGTTTCAATAAATTGCTTCAATTAATGTCCTGATATGGATAGTGGTTAATAATTAATTGACATTAGTTATCCAGACTATAAAAATGTAATCTGAAATATACCTATTTATTGTATTTAAAAGGTAATTCTTGTATCCCGCTCAATCCGCCTTAATACTCTTTATTAAGATTATTTCTTATATCAGCAAGCTCTTCAGGGTCGTACTCAGCATTTGGGAAGAAGAATTGGCAAGTTCTTTGTTAATTAGAATCATTATTAATTAATCTTGGTTGTCCAACAATGAAGAAGTTGTTTTTCTCAAATATCTCCTTGATTTAATTCATAGTGCTTCAGAATAGATTGATATCTTTTACATAATATTTTAATCAAAAGAAATTATGACTCTTTCAGCCATAACATTTACCTGCACATATTGGATCCCTAATATTCATTATTATTGCTCCATACCTGGTTGTCCTTCAAAACTTGACTTGATTTTGTTAGCACACATTGTACACCATATCTTGGACACTGTTAGATCGTATACGACTATTTTTGATTCCATAAATAAATTACGAAAAATTTTATAATTTAAAAAGCCATTTATTATGCCTTATTTTTATTTATTTAAACTTTTGGATCCTTCAATTAAAAAATACTGGGAATTACTCTGGATTTAAATTTGAATTTCAAACAAAGAATAAATATTTATATAAACAGTGCATTATTTATTTATCAATAAAAAATATTTCTGTTTCTTAAAATATAAAAATGAAACATTTGAGAACAAATAATTTAAATTTACATTTTTTGTAAATAACTCTGTTTTGTATTTTCTCAGACTTCTTAAGTTTTAAGAGAGAAATATGAGAGTAATAAAATAGATTTGAATCATTTTTGTTTGAATTTATGTCAGGAAATACAAGATAATATAGTATAATACTTATATATGACTAAAATTTGGTAAATAATGATACAATAATTCAGCATTTACTGCACATAGGAGCTTCGATTACTTTCAATTATGCATTCCATTCTTATTATTATTATTGAGTTACTAATAAATTTTTCTTTTTATACATCTCTAATGAAATATTAATTGATGAAATACCTTCAATTAGTTTTTCAAAGCATTGTGCAATATTGGTTCCTCTGTAAGCAGAAGTCTCTTCAAAGAATAATCCATTTTCGCCTGCGAATTATTACCCTTCTTCCCTTGTGACTTTCCTTGAATTGTTTTATCTCTCAACCAAATCAGTTTTATTACCAACCAGATACATGACGACATCTTTGTTGGCTGCTGTTTTAAGTTCTTCCATCCATCTTGTTAAATTTTCAAATGTTTTTTCTTTAGTTATATCATAAACCAACAAAGCACCTCCTGCCCCTCGAAAATGATTGGTTGTAATAGCTCTGTATCTCTCTTATCCAGCTGTATCCCAAATTTAAACCTAAATCTTTCCTCCATCCTGCAATGTCACAGTTTTCGTTGCGAATTCGATACCTACCTTATTTTAATATAATTTGTTACCAATTGTGGGCAAATTGTTCCTTGGTTGCTGACCTCTCACATACTGATTCAATATATAGGTTTTTCCAACTCCTGCATCCCCCAATAATACAACTTAAAGTTAGATATAGCTATTACTTTTATAATTAATGTCTTCCATTTTTGAAATTTGTAATAAATAGTAATATAAATTATACAATAGTCATAATTTCTTCATCAACTAATCCAAACGCTTTTGTACTTTTTCATCGATTTCCAAATTTTAAACCTGCCTCTTCTTTTTTCTTTTTTCGTTCGTTTCCTCCTCATCATCAGTCGTCAGATCCAACTCATCATTCAATTAATTTTAAGTAAAAACAAGTATTTACTATTATGTCCTCTGTAACCAAGGTGCCTCAGGCTTGTTTTCTATAAGGTTAGGCTAAGTTTGAATGAGATGCAATTACCTTAATCATGAACAGAAACTCCTTCTTGAATTCTGGACAGATATTTGGTGGTTGGATATCTGGGAAATTAAGAGAAAGTTTGCATTCAAAAATCCCTTAACCATGCATATGTATCTTTATTGTCGGAAATCCATTAAAGAGACTTTTCTCGTTCATCAAAAAAGTTAAGATAGCCTTCCCAAAAGCAGGAGTCGATTTCTTATCTATTTAATTTTGGATCATCAATTTTAAATAATCCAATTCATCTGATACTACATTCCCAACTTATTCTCTTATATCCTCTACCTTCATCTTAGCATTAGGGTATTGAGACAACTATTCCACATTATTATAACATATTACCAATAAATAGATGATTGTCATATTGTATTTTATACCTATGATATGCTGCACTATTCTCTCAGATTTCAACACCATCTCATTCGATAAATCTTCACTCTTCTCTGAATCAGCATCTTGATGACTTGAAATACTGTTCAATCTTTCTTTTTGCAATTTCATCCAATAAGTTTCCAGTTGCTGAAGAATCAATAAGGCTTCTTAGTATTTGTGCTAAAAAATCATACTTGACGATTTGAATAACAGAATATCTTAAACCTAAAATATTAAACCTATTTCCTATTAATCAATATTAGGAAACTGTACAGAATCACCATGCTTTTTATTTAATTAAGCATCCAAAATTTATTTAATGAATATTAACATTTAAGTATCTATTTTAAATTTAGATTCCCTAACATTTTATTGTGTTAATTAATTCGAAATTATACACGCCTTGTCTATTTGTTGCAATTTAATTTCACACTTCAATTTCAAAATTAGAATTTAATTAGTTTATTTTGCATCATTAAATGCTTTTAGTGCTTCTTCATAAGCATTATTATGAAATAACAAACTTCCACTCCAATAATTAATCTCATCTGAATTATTGTACTTAACATATTTATTCATATCACTAAAACTCTAGGCTGTACTAATAATTATATTTATAATTACTCTCCCTTTATCTGATAGCACTTTGCTCTTTCTAAATAAGATTCTGAATGCTCCTTATTAAAATGAATTGCTGTTGTAAAATCCTTTATAGCTTCCTTCAATCTCATACTTTAAGCATGTAAGATACCTCTGATGTAAAAGTGATCACTAATGCTGTCCTCACTTTTATCAATTGCCTTTTCTAAATCTTTCATAGCTGATGTGTATCTTCTTTTATACGACTTCATTAAAGCCCTAGCAAAAAATAGATTAGGCTGTTTCCCTTATTTGTTGAATGCAAATTCTAACAACTATTCACACTCTTATGCTCCATCATATAATTTATCAAGCAAACAAATTGAACTCTTATAATAAAAGGGCTCTAATTTATTAGGAAATATTTCAATTGCTTTGTCGAGCAATTTGTTAGATGGCTCATACTAACCTGACTATTTTCATATAATTTACATTTTGATATTAGAATAAGAGCTTCAGACACGTATTTATTATAGAGTTATCCTTTTTCAATTTGATTGATCATTTCATATGATTTCAGTGCTGATACATAATCAGATGTACAAAACTAGGCATAAGCTAAAAATTTATAGTAAATGGGCTATAGGAATTTGCTAATTGGTTTTAAATCTCTAATTAATTGAAGTCCTTGTGCAAATTGTCTTTTCATTAGTTTGACAGTTCCATTTACAAAAGGTTTTAACTTAGATATACATTTAAAACTCTTTTTCAATTGATCTGCTCTCGATAGATGGAGCTACGCCTCGTAAAAGTCCATTAGACAAATTTTGGCCTTAATAATGTAGGAAATGGCTTTGGCACTTAATTAATGCGATGTTGACATCTGAATGGCCTATTCAATATATATCTAAGACTCCATGAAATTTTCTATGGTATTTTAATATTATTTACTTTTCTTAAAGTAAATTATTCCTTTGAGTAACAAGGCTTCGGCGTTTTCGCTGTCTTGCTATAAGATTGTATCGATCTTGATAAGTGCTTGGTCAACGTAATTACATTTAATTAACGATAGACAATGACGTGATCTACCTATAAAGTCGAGATTGTTAATTTTCTCGTAAATTTCTAAGGCTTTCTAATGTTACTTTAAGGCTGAGTGGCATCTTGCCTTATATTGGAGAGCTTGTTTATCATTTGGACTATGAAGCAAGGCTTGTTCAATGAATTTGAGAGACTCATAGTATTTTTAGGCTTTAAATTCCAAAACTGCTGATTGAATGTAGCCATCCAAATAGTTGGGGTACTCAGACAGGCATTTATTGAACTTTTGATAAGATTGTCAAATACCCAACTTCTTGCTTTATCGAATTGATTCAGTTGTTTGTATGCTATGCCTAAAATCAAATAGGATTTTTTGTTAAACGGGCCCTATTCCAACTTCGTTATGACTTGCATTGAGTTTCCGACTTGGATCTCCTTAATCATGGTTTGAAATTAATCTGTAGGGATGACTTTATTTTGAATTGTATCTTTGAAAAAGCTCCTTTGAGTTTCTCTCGAAATTGACAAAGATAATCCTCTTGGTTCAACTGTATTTTAAGTTTGTCTTCTTCTGCTAAATTTGCTTTAAATAAGTACTACTTAATAGTGAGGGACCTGGACATGGGGGAGGGTTTCTCTATTTTATCTGAAGAGAGTGGCATTTACAATTTGTTTCGCTGTTGCTAGTTATTGAATATGAATTTCTGAAACACAGGGGACTATATGTATATTTTCATAAATAAATTAATTATATTTTTATGAGTAGTTAAGATCTTGAATTCGTGTAGGAGAATTTGTAAATTCTTATCAAGACTGTGTAAGAGCTTTAAAGTTAGTTTTAGGGGAAGGGTATTGAATGATATTCATATTTAGAAAACCAAGAACAAATTCAACTAGTAAATATTGATGAATATACAAAATATAGAATAAATAAAAATGCCAAAAGTAAATCGATGCCTTAACAATCAAATTTAAATAAGGCAAATTCAACAAATCTGAAAACATGACTGTTTAAATGCTTAAAAAAGAATTTACCAAGGTACATTAAATAACTTAAATCAGCAATAAAATATTTTTATTGATATCACAAAGTCTATCAGAAATCCCAAATAGGTCAATTATAACGATCCAAGAGAAGTGGAAATGTAGAATGCAAGTAAAATAAATTCCTTAATAAAGAGAAAATGAATGGAAAATCCACATATGTCCATGATGAAGATACAAACTATGATGAGGAGGATTCAGGAGAGAAAGGACCCCATTTGGATCAATTGTCAGAAATGGAAGTTCATCCGGATATATAACATAAGGCTATGTTAATATAAGAACAACAAGAAGAAATAGATTGTACTGTTTATTGTCTAAATGAGAAATTCAAAAGGATGCCTTGGAAGTACTCAAAATTCAAACTGAAGTAGCAAAAGTAGTAGTTGATCAAGGTAAGATGTTAGATGTGGCTGAAAACAATATCAATAAATCAAATACAAATGTTAAGGAGGCAGTTGTTGAATTAGAAGGAGTAAACATCATTGGTTTATTTAATTTAGGCAAAAGTAGAGCATAAGTAATACATGAAAAAGCTAGCTGGTGCAGTATGCATTATTCTTATCGTTGTGGCTGTTATTGTAGTTTGTGTTAAGTTGATTTGAAAAAGTTATTTATTACAAACAAATTTAAATTAGACATTATCAGATGTTATCATTTGATAAAACATAATTACGTTTTTAACCAAAACCACTTAATTTTCTCAATATAAGTAAAGCTTACAATATTAAATGTTTTAAAATATAATTTATACTTTGTTGTGAGGATTATCATGAATTAAAATAAATCTCAAAATTCTTCTTATAATTATTAACACAACTCTAAATGCATTCCACATTCACATTATTTGCCTTGATCACATTACATCTGATTCCGCAATACTTTGTTATTCTAACAGCTTATTTGAATTTTGATATTCTCTCTATTACATCTTACTCTTATTTATTTTACATATAATTTAAAATATAATTATTTTATAAATTAAACAAATAAGAAATAAATATTAATGAAGGAAGACTTAAACATGTCATTATATATTAAGGGTAAAGATTTTAGTAAATCATCTTCGATTTTTGATAATAAGGAATAAAAGTAATTTTTTAATAGGATAAAATTTGTATCTTAAAATAATGGATTGAAAATGAATTGACTTAGATAATATAGTGAAATTTAAAGAACCGAATGAAGACCTCTCACTCCAAACCCTTCTGAGACTACCTTATTACTGGAAGGTGTTTGGTAATTTATTTAATAAACTTACCTAACACGAATAGTGATATATTCAATTTAATAAATTTATTTTATCAAATTACTCATGCATAATATTTTCTTGCATTTTTTCCTCTTGTATATCATACTCAATAAAGGATAAATTTTGTGGGAATGATAATTACTACTAACTGCTATTATTAAAGAAAGGAGCCTAATAGAATGAAAATCAGGAAATAATTTAGAGAATTATCAAGGACACTTCATCCAGATAAAAAGGAAGGGAACTAAACTTAATATGTGAATAGTGTAAAGAAACAAAGACTGATTATGAAAAGTATCTTGAAAATTCAAATAGAAGTGAATTTTATCATCACTATCGATATTATCAACATGTATATCATCCTTAAACAAATCCACATATTTTTGTTTCTGGAGCAACCCTGCTCTTATCTATCATTTAATATGTGGCTAGAATTTGTATGTACAACAATGCAATTGGAAAAGAGTGATGGAATCAACTCATTTCAAAAAGGTTGTAAAGGAAAGATATAAGGAATCTAATTTGAGTAAGTAATAAGTAATCCAAGAGACCTTGGAAGAAGTTAAGATATCAAGAGCATGGTCTTATCCTACATTTGAAGAAATTTGGATTATAGCCATATTACATTTTATCTACTCCATTTTTTATAGATTATACTTTGCAATTAAATGGAAATATTATTACAAGTACTAGAAATGTCGAAAGGAAATAAGTGAAAAGGATTAGGAATACAAAACACAATTGATATTAGGAATCAGTTAGAGTAGATAGGAGATTGTGGATAAAGAATCATTAGTAAATCAATAGCTATGGATACTTGAAAATATGAAGGAATTCGATGAAGGATAGCTTTTAAAATAGGATGAATACATTCAGCAACATAGTAATAAGTTCAAACAGTATATGAGATTAACTTGTAAAAGTGTCTCAAAAATATATAAATTTGTATTATTTTCATATGAAATCAACCATCAATATTTACATGGGCTAAGGTGTTTTTGATAATTGCTCTAGCTGTATTTGAAAATGGACTCGGTATTATAGGAGAATTTATCAATTATATGATTTAGGGTGTGTTAAACTCTTGACCATCAGCCAGTCTAGTGGGTTTCTTACTTTTTATTGTAGATATTTCAGTTTCTAATCTTTCAATTTCTTTATTCTTAGATATAAACCACACACATATTCCCATTAATAAAACTGATATACATATGGGAATTCCTAAATACACAATCAATTTTTAATATGAAGGTTCACCATCATCATAAGCCAATATAGTAATATTGGTGTATCTCTAAAATATGAAATTATTCTGAATATTGTTTAACAAGTTGGAAGTTTCATTTTAAATTATTTGATAATATTATTGAGTATTTTTTTGATTTTTTGGAGGATAGCAGATAATATAAGGATCTTGAAATTTAAATTTAGTAAAAAATAATCCTGATTTGGAAGTCCCAAAAAAGAAGTTTTCCATTGAGAAGTTATTTGAATCAGTCAAATGACTCATAGTGAGATCTATATTTGTCAGATAAAAGAAGTCTATGTCTATTGCTCCCAATAAAGTATATTAAGGAACATATTATATTTAGAGTCCATCAAATTTAGTCACAAACATGATATGGTGTTTATTTTATCCTTAGAGTATAGCAAACTATTCGGAAACATCGACATCTTTGATTTTACTGTATGTTTCAAATGAATTAAGTTCAACTAATTCTCTTTCAGTAAAATAATATTCTACACAAATATATTTATGATGGTACTCATAGACAACAAATATATTGTTTTTGTAATTATCAATTGCAACAAATTCCTATTAGATTGTTGGAAATTTGTATTATAATTTGAGGGAGATCTTAATGATGACCACATCCATTTAATAGACAGAAATGCATGATTGGTCTTCATCTAAAAGAATCAGATAGATCAGATGATCAATTTTTAGAATAGCCAAATCTTTGAATCTAGTGTCTGATATTTAATCAACATAATGTAATTCGTTACCAGTTATTTTATAAACATCCAAACCATTCTCACCAACACACGAGAAGATATAATTATCGTATTCCTTTGTGACTCCTCTTTCATTTCTTTATTTTATATCTATCAAATCCTTTATTTAAAGTTTGGCTACCTTCTATTCCATTTATTAAACACTAAACAGTACTGCCCCCCTGGTTTGAAAGAGTATACCTAAATTACTCATACTGCAATAAAGTAATTGAGGCATTTCAGCCATAGTATCCAATCCTAATTCTTTGAAATCTGCCTTCCAAATAGTTTTAGCAAATTCACCGCTGAAGTTCTAATAATTGAATTTGATCAAATATAAAAAATAATCTGAGGTTATGAATAATACACCATCTCTAACATGCACCATAGTTACAATATTCTCAAAATGTTATCTTCTCGTATCAAAAATTAGATTTAATTCTCTCAAATGACAAAATGGTAATGTTTCATTTGTAATTAGTTTTGAATCTTTTGCTTAAAAAAGAGAAAGCAAAAGTGTCTCTTCTTAAGTAGGAATCTGAAATTCAAGTGATTCATTTATTATTTGTCGGATTCTATAAGATTAAACATTAATGATTAAGTAAAAAAAAATAAACATTTATCATTAATTTCAAACTTTGAAGGTCATTCTAACTTTTTAAGATATGAAATATTTGAATTAAAACAGGTTTTTAATTAATTATAAGTCATGACTATTATTAGATATTATTGATAATTAAATGTTGATTGCTTGGTGAAAATGGCCTAGAACTCTACTGAGTATTGGTTCTCCCACTAGTTGGTATCGACAGGCTATATCCTTTAATGCTCTTTGCAATTTTCCTCTCCTCTTTTCTAAGATTGTAATACCATTTGAAAATCATGATAACTAAAATTGAAATGAAGATCAATACTTATCAATGTAAAAATACAAAGCAATAATGTAATCAAAATAATTACTAAATACGATTAATGTCGGTATAAATAAGTTGAAACCAAATTCAATTAAAAATTTAGATGATGTCTCTCTATGGTAGTACCATTATAAGAGACGTTATAGACTAAAGAATAATGTTTGGAATAGTCTTGGTGAATTTGGCAATCAATTTTTAATGGTATCAATTGTAATTGACTACGAAAGAGTTGAGTCACTGTGATACCTATCAATTCATTATTCCTTAATTCGAAATCTCTTAAATTATATTTGATGATATTATTCGATAAAGTAGTTCCAAAATTAAAGGCTACCATATGTCTACTGTTGCCTTAAATAATGGCATATTCATTATTAACATCTACATCTTTTATTTTGTTAGTGTAAATTAAATTTTGTATTCTCCAATCTGTATCATCTACAACATATTCAACAATAGCATATCTTAGTTTCCATTTATATCCAACGAAGATATTAACTCCATTTTTTGTATCAACTGCAATACCACCTTCCTGAACATCAATTTTTCTGACTTTAAAATCAATTACATTCTCATAACTATTCATCTTTGCAATAATCAAACCAGAATAGCAATCAAGAATGTATAATGTTGTTTTATATATGGTAAAATCTTTGACACATAATTAATTTTATCCAATATCTACATGATTTATAGATCTAAAATAAGTGAGATTATATAAATGGTAAATATCTATGCCATTTAAACCTACTGCTGTATAAATAAAAGCACCATAAATATTAGTAAGCCAACGTTCTTGTCTAGGAATCCATTCTGCGAATTCTACTATGCTTATTGGCAATAAATACACAACATAAGCTGTTGTGTCTGTGATCACTAATACGATGTTTTCGTTCAGGATGATTTAATGAATAGAATCGATCTCATACTTGGATAGATCATATTAGGATTTTTGAGTAAGGTTATTTTTATGGATTATTATTAATCTCATATTTGATGTCATAATAGCTATGCGATGTTCATCTTGACTCACTAGGATGAGCTCTTCCATATCCTCTTCTGAGAAATCAATTATTTAATATTAACTAATGCTTTCCTATATTGATTTTTATCTCAATTCACATCCTGTTCCATTCAATTATCCATCCCATGCGTGTGGTAATTGCAATATAGTACTTCTTACTCCTTCGTGAACATTAAAATAAGCGTTGCTATCGTTGATTTCTACTATTACTTATCCAAAAATGCCATATATTAAAAACAAAAACATTTATATGCTTAAAATATTTAAGAACGCATTTTCAAAAAATAAGAAATCTCTTACTTAATCATTTTAGTCAGAACAACCAGAACTTCCTCCTATTCACAAAGCTTAAACCTAAGACTTTTAATTAATAGATGAAAAATGTATGGAAACAATTGAAGAAACATAAAAATAAAAATAAAGAAGCCAATCTTTTGAGGCTAAAGAAGAACCAATCAAATAATAGGAGGAATTTATGGATTATGTAGTCCAAGAAGATGATTCATTTTTTGGAATTGCACTTAAGTTTAGTGTCAATGAAGGATACTTGATGTGGATCAATAATCTATCTAGTGATATGATTTTTAAAAATTAGATTTTAAAAGTGCCAATAACAAATCAACCTCGTTTCTCCATAGTAAAGCTTCCTGATTAGAATAAACAACAAGAAAATATCTGGGAACAAGAAAAGTTTAGTTAGAAATGTAATTATGTTTAATATCTATTATCTAGTTGAAGTTATTTATTGCAATAACAAATAAAATTCTAATGGAACTTTAACCTTAACAAGTGACATAGTACTGTTTGATCCATGCTAATAAGAGTAGATTTAAGATAAATAAAACAAAGTTCGAATGAATGCTTGCATTTCAATGATTGATATCAATGAAGCTGTTACTTATGTTCTATAAAATTAAAATGGATGCTTAGATTATATTGTACAAATCCTATTGTCAGGAATAGGCAAACCCCAATTTGAAAAAATGTATTCGAAATAATTAAAGAAATATAAGAAATAAAAAAAGAGCATTGCCACAGTATTCTTCAGAGTATAATATTTTATTATATATGTAAAGCATGCAGAAAGAGACAGAGATGGCAAACTGTACTCAGAAGAAATCAAAAAGGCCAATTGCGCATTTATTGCAAAATTCATAAATGAATCTTGTACAGGATACACTGAGCAATCGAAATTAACAAAATTACCATACATTGATTTGATTGAGGATTCTTAACAGAAAAAACAGCTATAGACAGATGAAATTTAGGATGTCATTGGAGAAAGAATGGGAAGTATGCAATATATAAATCATCTTAGAACTATGGGCTTGTTTAGAGTATGTTCCTGTTCTAAAAGAAGCCTCTAATTGTTTCACCAACACTACCTACAAGCAAATAATTGAATAAATCCCAGCAGTCTATCGTTTAGCTGAATGGGTTAAATTGTATAACATCGATTACGATGGATCCAGTTATTTAAATATGCTCTATGAAATCAAGAATAAATCTCCAATAATAATTATTATTAAGGATTTCGATAGCTTGATATTTGGAGCCTATGTTTCAACAGAAGTGCAATAATATAGTTGTGGATTCAAAGGCAATGGAGAAACCTTTTTATTTAATTATGATTAGGAGGTATAAGATATTGATAATTTATATTAGAAAAATGAAATCAAACCATATTTTTGGACAGAAAAAAACAGAGACTTCATTTATTGTGATGAAACAGGATTAGGAATTGGTTGTGGGGATAAATTTGGCTTATTCATTGATTAAAGCTTAACATTTGGATATTCAAATCCATGTGAGACTTTTGAAAACATAAGGTTTACTAAATCAGAAAAGTTTAAAATCATGCATCTTGAAGTTTGGGCCATTTTGCAATAATGAATATAAAATTCTCTTGTTATATTTTTATATCAACTAAATTATTTAATAATAAATATAATAAATTATTTATTTTAAATATACTTACATTTTCCAATGTTATCACTAATACTAAAATTAATGCCAATTGTCGAATTACAAAAATCTAATTGACCCACATTAAATTCTTAGAAAGTGAGCTTTTAGAATCTATATCGTGCAAGAGACACAAAATATATGAATCTAGAGAAAAAATTGATTCAAATAAGAATCAAAAATAAAAATGGTTATTTTTTCAATTCCAATCAGATCAATTTTAATTCTTTTCATACAACTCCCTTCTAAAACTTATTTTATTTTTTCAAGTAATCTAGAAATTCTAAATAAAGCAGTATCATAAAATATTAATTATGATCTAATCTTTTAAAATAGCGAGAAAACTCTAAATTAACATAGATTCATCACAACAAAATGATGAATTGACTCCAACATTTCAATCAGAAAGAAATTTACTTATCTCAACACCATCTCTTTTATAGAAACTTAAATTAAAGCCTATTTAAGAATTCTCAATTACTACTCAAACAAACAACCATATTTAAATGAAGTCCTCGATAAAGACAAACCCTTCCTTCTAATTAAAAGATAGCATATTTTAGATGAAATAAATATGTTCAAGTCAAAAATAAAAAAGAGTGAGTTTTTGTGATAAAGTCCTTATCATTGAAACTTAAAAGGGAGTTATAAAGAGGGAAAGAATATCCACTAAAGATTAATAATAAATTTTTTCAAGAACACCAAAAAGAAAAAATTGCATTCTAATTCCTTCTTAGCACAGGATCTTGAAGACTTTCCAGTCTATTGTTATTGATTAGCTTTGAATCTGATAAAAATTTGAATAAATATTAGTTTATAATTTATTTTATTGAAAAGATGGCCTTTGAAAAGCGATCTCCTTTCGAGTTAAGGATCTGGCACTTTTATACTGAAGAAGAGAAATCAATCACTCTTCTAAATGCTTATAAATAGAGAGTTTTATTTTCTGAGGATATCAAATCTTTCCTTCTAAAGGATAGATTAAATACTTGGTCATATTGGGGATTTCCAGCTGCATGTTATGCTCTATTTCACTATACTGGGGCATTGTAGCCATACATAGCTACAAAATATTCAGTGTCTGCATAAAGATTGATTCCTGCAGCAATCTCTGGCATTCTTTGGCTAGGATGGCTAAACTTCAATCCATTTTACAATGCCTTATAAAAGTATTGAATATTCTTAATTATTATAGCGAGAAGTTGCATTTGCTTAATTTAATAGAGAGAAGAGTTGGATTAAATATGAAAGCCCTCAATGAGTAAGTACCTCGTACTTGGACAACTTAGGAGATTCATAGATAAATTAGAGAGTCTTACAATAATAGACATGGTTTCTTCACAAACATACTTTATCCAAGTGAGGAAAGAGCATCCCCTTTATAAGATATTTCAAGTTATCCATTCAAATACAGAAGAGATAAGATTGTAAAATGATTAACCACGCATACCGCACAAAATAATTATCATATAGCATAAAAGCTTATTATGCCACAATCATGAGCAGCAATGATTTGGTCATTCTTATGTCGATACTGCTGATACCTCCTGGTTTGTCATTCATGGTTTATATGTAATTCTGGGAGTAAATCTGATTAGCATCCCAAACTCAAATTGTTCTGTCTGTAGAACAGCTGACAAAAAGTTGAATAATCTTAAATTTCATACTTTCTCATTAATTTACAGAGATCCTCACTCCATACTTATGACCTCTGAATTATTGAATGATTTCAAACTTCTCTAGGTCTAAGTGTTTAATTAATTCATCATCTGATCTTGTCAATATTCTATTGTTATCCATAGATACTGTTGTCTTTATTTGTTTAGAATAAAATTTGATCTACTTCTTTTATGAATTTTAATTGATCAAAATGAGAGAACCCTCTTCATTACCAACTGCTAATAATAAATCATGAATCTTTAGTGAACATGAATAAGAAATTGGGTTTGTGTCTATATTTTTAATCCTCAATTTGTTTTAATTTGATAAAAGCTAGTTATTCTCAATTCTCCAGAAGTGACTATAATTGATGAATCAAGAAATCTAATTGGAAAATGCATCAAATGATATTTCAGGTATTCACTTTCATTAATATCTCAGATCCTAAGATAATTACCTAATGATAACACAAGAATTGATATTATTTTATTCTAATTTAGTACTTAAGCTCCTTCAACATTAATGGATAAGTCTATAACACCTAAAGATGATCTATCAATATAGTTTCATTTCATTTTGTATGATATGGTTAAGAACATAGATATACATTTTCATCCAAAGTACCAAGAACCAAATATTCTTTTAAGATATCCATACATTTTGGACTCTCTGAAATTAAAAAATGTGTAATCTCATAGATCATTATAAATATATTTATTTATCATGCATATTCATTTTTAAGTTTTAATTTCTATTCAGTTTAGGATAGTAAATTAAACTCTTTTTAATTATTCCTCAAAGTTTACAATTTACGAGCCTTTTCCCTTTCCTAAACAATAAGTTACTTTCGATTATGCTAGAGATGATCAAAATATAGATATACCTCATTATATTGTGCCCACATCTTTTCATCTTCCTTCTCCTATTACCTTTTCTGTTCATTTTCTTATCTTTATTAAGCCTAATCATTTCTGATTTGTTATCTCTATTCTTCTGACATTCCTTTGTAATGATAAGGTATGACTCTGTGAGGAGCCAAAGCGCTTTAACAGGTTGCCGTACTTTAGATTTAATAAAGGAGGAATGTACTTTTCAGTCCAGACATCATTATTCATTATTTCTTGCTGATGCTATTTCTTTTCCTATTAAGCCAGAGCTGCCATGTATTGTTCCCTATCCTGTTTTTCTTTAGCCATTTAGTTATTGATTTGCTGATTTGCTATTTCCATCTCAACTCTTCTCCTCTGTTGTTCTTGATCTAATTCCTTCAAGTTCTGATTTATTTGTAGAGTCTGTTAATCATATTATTGTTGGATCTGCTTGTTCAATTGTTTTTTGGCTTAGTTCTCTTGAGTTTGTTATTAAACCCAATCTTTCATCTACAGTTACTACATTTTTCTTCTGTCTCCAGCAGCTAAAATAGAGAATGAAATTGGATGGCTTACTCAAGTCCTCCCCATCTAGCATCTTCAAATTGGAAACTCCAACTTATTATTTCATTTGAGCATGATTGTAAGAGGGGTTTTAATAATGACTCATTAAATATTTATATTTTAATTTTCAAACATTATACACTCCAATAACAATAGCATGATCTCTTTCATATGGTTCTAATGTCAATTATTCTTGAGGTGTAAGGCCTTCATCCTGTAAAGATAATTTGAATATTAGTATACCTTCAATCTTTGCACTTCATGTTAAAAGACTACTTCAGCTCTGTTCGTGGAATCAATGCAATTAGCCTTGATGGAGATCATGAAATGACCACCCTTCTTCAAGAAATATTGTGAATTCAATCCCACAATTCTGGCTTGGTCTGGTTATGCCACATCGGCAAATACAACATCAACCATACCAACAAGCATCCTGTACTCTAATGGTTTTCTGGCATCGGCAATGATGGGAACAATATTTGTTCGCTTCTTGGCCATATTGACCAAATCCCTGCCTGATCTATGAGAGAACTCAACGGCATATACAACACCTAAAATAATCTTCAAATATGTACCTTCTGATCCTATAATGTCTGAAACATGAGAAACAGTGGTTCCAGATGCAGCTCCCAAATATAACACCTTAGCTCCTGGCTTAATGAAAATATCACTCACTCCTCCGATAACTCCAGCTGCTATCTTTGATCTGAATGGATTCCAAACTCTATATTCTACTTTCTCTCCTGTTTGTTTATCTTCAACAGAAATTCTTTTCTCATTATAAACTGATTCTCCTGGCACCATATTCTTAGTAACCAAAGCTTCTTATTATCCCTTGGCCACAAAAACTCCTGCCAATCTTGGATGAGGAACTACAAAGGCTTTTGGAGCTCCTCCGAAACGACCTCCTCTTCCACCTCTTGGGGCTCCTCTACCTCTTGGAGCTCCTCTTCCTCGGTCTCCTCCTCTACCACCTCGTGTATCTCCTCTACCACCACTGAACTCTCTGCCCATAAATTATAATTTAAAATTAAATTTTTATTCATTCCAATATATTCAATATATTTATTCAACTCTATTTTTTATCATCACTCTATTTCTAGACAAATATCAGTATTTGAAACCTTGTTTGTCTTATTGAATGGCCCTGTAAACATTTTCTTCTCCACCTTCCCTTCCTTCAATTTCCCCAAAGTGTACAAAGAGATAACACACCATCTCACCTCCACATTCTCCTGACTTATATAAATTCCCAACTAACTATTTTTAGGGACATCTCCTTTGTTTAAATTAAAATTAAAGCTTAAATCTTTAATATAACCATTAACAATATTCATATTCTACTTTGTTTAACACAATTTTAATAATTTATCCTGAATCACTTTGCCATCATTAATCAATTGAATTATTATTTGATTGTCTCCGTTGTATGGCAAATTTGAAATTGAATGAATATGTATGTCTAAGCCTGTTCTTTGTTTCTGATTTAACTTCCTAATATCCGTTCGCACATCTCCTTAATGAATTTGGAATTCTATCTTCTCCTTCAACTTCTTAACCAGCTTATAATCCAAAGGGGTTTGTAATTTTGGACTCTTGTATAATTCGGTGAATAATTTGGTTGTGTATAGTTTCTTATTAAATACCATATTCATAGCAAACCATGCTATTAAAACATCATCATAAACTTCTATCAACACAAAATAGCCTTCCTTACACTTTAACATATCATCAATGTCGATAATAAATACAGCTGAATTTGGAACAATCATCTCTTGTATACAATCATCCTCATTCTACTACTTTACTATTTCATTATTCTTCAAAATCTTCAAAACAACCTTCTTATTCTTTAACTATAATTCTTAAATCTATACTGTAATTGGTAAATATCGAGATATACTTGAAGGTTTCTTTGAATCCTTCTCCTTAACTTCATCATCTTCATCTTATTATGTATAACCACCTTTAGATTTACTCATTCGATAAGATGGTGTCCTTTCATAAATATCTAATTACAATGGTACTTCTTTAATTAGTAATTTAATCTCAAAGCTCAACTTTTTATTATTTATTGTATATAAGTTTAATCTAAATTCACCAGTCTACATTGATGTTTTCTTAAAAACATTCAGCTAGGTCATTCCCAAAAATTAATTATGCTGATGGATTATGATCACATAATTTAAAAGATTAACTTTAGAAAATGTATCCTACAAATACTTCTTTCCTACTCTAAATGTAGTATAATAATGGGAATTATATACATTTTTTGATTCAGTTGAAAAGATATCCAAATCATCCTTTATTTAACATTATCTTTACAGAACATCATCTATTGTCTTTTACTCAGATTGAATAGATATACTGATCTATAGCTCATCTTTGGACACGAAATTGTATGCCTGAAGCAATTAAATAATCATTTAAGTATTCCATTCTGGATTTTCCACATTTTTAACTTTCTCTTCTTCTTAAATTGTGTACTTATTTACTGTAGGCAGATTCTTAAGTTGGTCCTTCTTGCTCATCAAAACAAAATCCAATTAAATATTACTTTTAACCATGTCCTTTTGATGAAATGGGGCTTATTGACCAGGGGGTTTAATTAAATTAACTTAATATAAGCCAGAATCTACTTATAGATTATTTAGATCGTCTGTCTCTTTGAATAATTGACCCACATACCAGCCCAATAATGCATTATTCTAATAAATTGCAATGTAAACATAAGCATCCTTTGTAGAGAATCCCTCCTGCTCAAAAATGGATAATATATTAGCATAATCTAAGGAGAACTCTGCATGAAGGTTATATCTTTGCTACTTATCGGTTACTTCATTTGGAATCAAGTTTTAAGTCATGACACAATCTGTTTCATTTTCATCCTTCAATATGATATCATTAATAAAGAAACCAATTTTCAACTTCAATTCATTATATTTTTTGGTATCCAAACTACTCAATTTTAAAATATCCATTACTACAACTCCTGCCCCAGTTATCACCACTTTATTCCTTGTACTACCTAAATCCGGCTCGGTTGGAATTTCAATATTTTTTTAAGATCTAACAGTCTAATCTCCTTAATTGGCTTTTAACTTGCGTTTCAATTTGTTAAAATACTTAACATTAGTTATTTAATTAGATAGTCCATCTTATTATTATAATTGAATGAGATGTCTGCTCGTCTAGCCTCCTTTATTTGTTCTATCCCCTCTAACAGTTCTATCCCCCCTAATAGTTCTATCTCCTCTAATTGTATTGTCTCCATTTGCCCTCCTAGTTGCCTCCTTCACTTCTATGCTTCGCTTGCTGTCAAACTATTCTTCTTGAATTAATTAAATTCTAATATTTTTTGTGGATCCTCTTTAGGAATCTTTATCAAGATGCCGAATAGATTCTAATTTAATAATGGCATCACTAGATTATTGACTGTTTTTCTCTTGAGTTGGTAAATGTTCTATAGTATCGATTTTCTTACTGAACCGACTTTTAACCTAATATTTTTATTAAATGCTAGTGGTTGGAGATTCCTTTAATTTTTCATCGCCAAAATATTCATCATCAGTTATTTGATATTAAGGCCTGAGAGTTCTTTATTTTTTGGTAGGCGACAATGGTAGGTCTCCAAATAATTGAGGTTCTCTCTCTCTCAATGGCTTATCATAAGCAAAGGCCTTGGCAAAATCTGTTGGGATTTAGGCCTGATCTTTGATTTCCGACCTTATAATTTTACATTCCCTATGAATATGATAATGAGGAATGTGGTAATCACTTTCTACAAAGATAATTTCATCGAGATGTTAAGGTTATTGCATAATTCTAAAGTACATACATAAATTTCCATAATAAGGGTACTCTTTACTATACACTAAAAGGTCCCTGGGTTTGTATTGTTACTGATAGAAAGGCAGTTTATATTTACCTATGTATAGTGATCCGGTACGATCAAATAGTTTAAAGACACTCCAACCAAGCATAGATAAAGATCCATCACTTTCAAAGACCCAAATTTCAATGTACAGTATTGTCTTGTCATCTGCTTGAACATCTCTCATTTATTCTATTGAATTGAAGATGCATTTATTTGTTCTATAGGTTTCTGCTTGAGTAAGACAATCACTAGTTAACTTATATGCATGATATTCTTCGGTTTATTTAAATATGCCAAACGAAATTCTGGCTTTAGTGTATTAAATAGGCAATTTTGATACCATGTCCCATTGAATGGTAAATCCTTCGAGATGACTATATGGAACAGTCACATCTTCGTTAGATTCGAAACCTCTTTTTCTTTTCATGGTCATTTCCTAAGCCATTTTGTTGATTCTTTCTTTGACAACTTCATTCTCTATTGAAGTTTTAATCATCTATATGTTGGTCAATCTATCCATTGATGATTGTCTAACGGCCTCATTCTCCTCGTTTCTCATATAACTCAACATTTAATCATTTATGCTTCCAGAGAAGTCCGTTTTCTGTCGATTGTGTTGTAATACTGGTAATGAATGTTATTGATTCAATTCTCTTTTAAAGCTTGTGGGTAAATGCTCATAGATTGGATGATTAGTATAAGATGGTGTATGTCCTTATTGCACAGGTGGACGAACATAATAGCCAATAGGTTATGCTTATTTTAGAAAATCATGTCTTAATTTTTGGAGAGAGTTCAAATAAATTGGATCTCGCATACCAGAATTTAGATAATCATTATGTAATCTATCAATTTCATTTAAAGTAGTTTAAGTAGGATCGATATGTATAGGTTATTTTTTGTATTTGAAATCCATCTCCTCAACAACTTGTTCAAAAGGCTTTTTGCGATTGCCTTCATTGTAGTATTCAAGTTTCTCTCTAATGCGAGTGAGTTCCTGTACCTATTAATCTTACTGAAAGCTTTTCACTGGAGAGATTAAATGAATGGGTTGAGAGTCGAACCTTTTGTGTTAAGTTAATTAGGCAGGTTTTGGATACTTATTCTAATATCCGTACAACTAACTAAGTTGTAACATTAAAATGAGTTATTGTTTAATGATAATATAAAATATAAGCGTATTTACATCTGAATTGTTTTCATATATATAAAATATATATTTATAACAAACTAATAGATGTTGGTCATTTTTTTATAGGATCCAATTTCTGTTTATTTTTACTTTCTTCTTTGTTTCGATGTTGCGATGGCATTCTCTTATTATATGACTCCCTTAATCCCTCCTCCCAAAGTCCTTGAGACATTCTTACATCTGGGCCAAACAAGTGTTTCACGCTGCCGCAATTACCCTACTTAAATTTCATGGTATAGGGAGGCAGTTCTTGCATTCCCTCAAATCCTGAATAAGTAAACTTCATTGTATTAAACTTTCCAGTACTGAAAGACTTTTTAAGTTCTCCTTACTCCTTCAAAGGTTTTGGGAATTCAGGGAAATCATGTCTATCCTTCTTCGGTATATACCACCATCCCTTCTCCTTCTTACTTAGATTTTCATCGTTTGCTTGATATCTTCTCAACCCAGTTTCAAAATCTGCTTAACTCCCAGAAGCACCCAATCCCAAACGATGGTTAAGTAGATGCATAAAATTAGCAACATTATCCTTGTTTTTGATATCCTAAACATCGTGTTGTTTCTCTGAGAATATAGTTTTTTTGTCTGCGAGAGAGTATGGTTGATTTGGTATCTTGCTAAGAAGTTCCTTCATTTTGTTCTACACATTAAATATGAAATTGATATACAGCATCCCAGTGTCGAAGTTATAAGACCCATTCTATATCGTTCTCAGTTATCTCCGGATGTTGTAAGAAGTGCAGATAAAAGTTCACATTCCTAGGTATTCTGACTTTATCCAAAGGCTGAAGATTTTTATTTGATTTTTCGAACTTCTCTTGTTTATCCTATTTATCGCCTGCTTTTTCGAGACTTTTTTCTTTTTTTTTTTTATCTTTTGGAGGTGGAGATTTTTTCATTTATAATTATAATAATTATTTCAATATTAAATATCAGTCAAATTATTTTTGATGAAGTTTCTTATGGAGTATATTTTGAGTATCAATCTCAGTGGAATCATTGTCAACAACAGCCTTGTATTTGATATTTGCTTGTTTAATTTCAAAAGGAAAGGGTACATGATCAAAAATTACATTATGAAGAGTAAGACATTGAAAACTATGAAAACTGCCAATTTCTATGCTACATGATCACTTAAATCCTTACTGAATCCATCAATCATGTTATCAGTCAAATATCGAAAAGATGCTTAACATAATAATGTGCATAAACATACGTGTTAGATAATTAGATTGATATACCCTCGACTCTTTTGTCTAATTGAAGTTATTCAAGTTCAAAATATTGTTTCTCTCTGCATCCTCTACTATATGAGAAGCCACTGCATCTCCTCTTGCAACAGTCGTGAAATTTGGAGCAGACCCAAGACCTTTAAATTTGTCATAGATCGTTATAATGTATCGCAAATTCTCTATATATCTAGCCACTCCAATCGAGTTCCCTTAGGCCAGTGCTCCTCTTGCAAAGGCTTCACAAGTAACAGTATCAGGAGATCCATATGAAGGGAGTACATCACACGGATCAGACATCATTATATGTTCATACACACTTCTGTAATCTGAATTCTACACATCTATGTTCAAAGCATGTTGTTATTGCATTGATGTATCATATGCATACATATCCTTTACATTTTATTTGATCACGTCATAGGGTTCTTGGTTGAGTAATTTGATTTCTTGATTATAAAACAGTTGCCTTTCAGAATTATCGCAAAACCTATAGAAACCTTCACATCTCGTTGTGATATTAAATTCAGCTATTTGTTAATTCATATTATTCAATTCATTCTATGTTACAAAATAGGCAAATATAAAATATCCTTACAATATCATAACTGAAAATACAAATAATAATATATGATCCTTGTGGTTTTAATTAGAATTAATAAACTTCTTCTTCTTCTTTCTTGATTTCAAAGTCTTATTCAACTCTGCCTGCTCTTCTAAATCTTCTTAAAATGAGACATTTTCATCATCCTCTCCTACCTATAAATTACTTATGTAATTCTCACACTTGCTGTAGAAATACTTCACTGTCTTTTCTGGAATATCTAAGAATAACTGTAGTATTGATAATCTCATCTAAGTTAAGAGGATGATTGCTATCGAATAAATTATTAGAGACACAAATAACATAATAGCAGAAAGTGTAATCACAATAATTTCAATCTATTCCTGTTTGGTAGTTCTGTCATCTAATGCTAAAACAAACTAATCTGCTACTATCGATAATGCCATCCAATACTCATTTAAAAGGTTATATTCTACAAAGAAAACACTTGTTTAATCTTCCCTAATGTCCTTCAGAGACATACTTGATACTTCAATGCCTTTGCTGATAATTTATTGAGTGGCCTCCATAAAATCATATTATTGGCTTGAACCAGTGCTAAAATACATTTTAACAGTATCTGAAACCTTCATATTTGAATAATAGTCTGTCATTTTTAAATCGCTCATAATAATCTCCTTATTTAAATCTTAAACATTATTTAGTTGCTTGACCAGGATTTCCTTTTAAGTTGTCTCATAAGAGGACTTATTTGTATTCTACCAAACACCTAAATTGAGCATCTTCAGATTTTATACGTTTGTCAATATAGATTATAATGTGGCTTGTATTTGGTTTTCTTTTCCAATAAGATTGATGTTATCTTCGATTTCATTATACTATTGATTTAAATAAAAGAATTCAAAGAAGGCTAAGGCTGTCATAACTAGATATAAAATATTTGTAAACCAGATCATTTTTGATATAATTGAAATTCTCCCTTAATTTTTGATTTATTCTTACAACGAAGCTCTTGATTTAAAAATGTTGTTATTAATGCTACTTTCATTATCCTATTATTATTCAATATTATTTTGAAATACACTTTATTAATGTTCTTCGTCAAATTCTTCCATAATTTCCTCCTTATCAATTTCCTGAATTCTATTTTGAAAGAGTTACAATGTCTTAATGCCTTCTCCATAATCAAATTTCTGATCCTCTGATGATTTCACTTGTGTAATTGATTAGTTTTTTACAGACATGGCACTTACATCTACAGTTTAATCATGAACCGATGATAAATCATGAATGGCTGAGACTTGATCAGTGGAGAATTCTCCCAAAAAGATCTTCTTATTAACATTATATTTAAATTAGAAATTAGATTTTGATTTCTTCAATGGAACTAATCGATTCTCACTCTCTTTTTATTCTAATTTCATCATATAACCTAATTGCTAATTATTTAATGTAACTGAATTCAATGTACATACGAACTCTTAAGAGAACTTAGTCTTTTCATCAATGTATTCATTGGATTGAATCTATCCGCTCATGATATCTTCTGGTATCCTATATTAAATAACACCTCCCCCTTTAATTAAGAATTCGCTCTTGTCCTGCAATTAAGGAAATATCTCACTCACCAATAATTTCTTATTCTGTATCAATCGCAAATCCAAGCCAAGTAAACTTATACAATTAAAAGAGATTGAGTCTATGATATCATCACTATCAAACAATATATAACATGTTTGCTTATATGGTTTGAATAACTTAAATTATGCTATTATCATAACTGATTAATCTAGGGATGTTAAGGCCTTCATCTCAATGATACAAGGAATGAGATAATTCTATTTATTTTTCACATAAATCGATCTTTCTTTACTCAATTTTTAATCGAATCCCAATTTCATTAGCTAATCATGTGCTTTTTAAAAGATATTGGGTATTAAGACATTCAATTTCCTATTAATTAATTCATTCTTCATATAGCCAAATACATGACAGGCCGTATTGAGATTTATGATTTGTCCAAACTTATCAGGAGCTAATGAAATGATCATTGTAGGCAAACTCTCCATACTGATTTCTTCCTTACTTGCCATCTATATACCCTTCCTCACATAAGAGGCATCCATGACTCTAGATTTCTCATACAACAACTCACCATAATCTTAATCTTACACAACATCAATCATAAATTTACTATACATTTTTAAACTCTTCTAAGTATTCTATTTTGTCTTTTATAATCTATTCCAGGTCATTTCAATTTCATTCATTAGATTATGAATATTCAAACCTATCTAATTCAATTTCCCTAAATCTGGGTAATCTTCTTACAATTAAGACCAGAAATCCATGTTTATCAAGGTTACTCTTTCAATCTTGCTCTAAAAGTTCTTGATGATATTTAAGTACATTGTATCATTATGAGTATCTACTTATTCAACATTTTAATCGTTCATTTCATCTTCAATAATCTTCTTGTATCTAAAAAGCACAAACTCATAATCCATAGTTGGATTCAAATTCTACGCTTGATTGAATTCCTACAAGGCATATTACCTTTAACCAATATGGAGCAAGAAGAATCCATATCTAATCTTCAATTAATAATCATATGGGAATCTCTTACTGGCATCCAAATAATTTTACTAAATGATCTTAATTAATTCCTTGCCACAGTCAGGTCTAACACATGTTTAATTGTGAGTCTTCAAATATCCATCCAAAATGATATTGAATAATTGAGTATTCCAATTGTGCAATCTTAGTAAATGATGTTACTATAACAATATTTGATTTATTGTTCCTTTGAAATTATCCAATAACAACAAATCTATTCTTTCCTCAGGGTTTTGTATCACAATAATAATCAATAAAGGAATTCCCAATAGCCATGCATAGATGGTACCTCTAAATATGACATCCTCTAGGATCTTACTGAAAGCCAACATTATGCAAGTCCAATTATTGATTGCAATAATCATTTACTATATTTTATAGACTATTAGATTGTTGTGAGTATTTTGGTGGTAATTATAGATATAGAGAGTTATATTTCCGAAGGCTATCAAAATAACCTAGACATATTATGATTCAATAAATGAATAATTTAGTACTTAGATCAGAATGTAAGTTTTCAAAATAAAATCATCAAACCCACTCTGCTTAGAAATAGAATTGGTATAAATAAAGCGTGCTTCATAATAGAGAAATGAGTGAACTGCACTCAAGGTGTAGAATATGATCAAAAATATAATTGCGACAATTGAATGGACAGTATGACTGCCTGCCCAGCATTCATAATTCGTAAATGAAAAGTGGTAAGAATCTCTGCATGTCCACACTGAAATAAATAAATCTACAATTGGCATATATAAAATTGAAAGCATCAAATTGATAATTGATTTTAACATTGTCATGGGCAGAGTCTTGCTGAGTTTCTCAGTTCTGTTGCTCAATACCAAATAGAGTAAAATTTCTAAAGCAATTATGCCTACAAACAGGTAAGTTAATATCACCATTGCTGAATATGACATGTGATCATATTGAGGAGATAATAGAACATAGCCAGTTATCGATTATACATATTCTGCTATTTCATCATGCTTCCAAGCCGAATAAAGATTTCGATTGAAGCAAATGTAAGTCATTTAAAATAGCTGGATGAGTAATGATGCGATCGTAAACAACAAGGATGGATCATCATCAATAAGCATCTATCTGGTTACTGAAAATAGAACATTCTTTATCTCAATCACCACCTTACCCAAAGAGCTTTGGCCTTCCTTTGATAAACCGTATTCAGATTTGGTTTCCATTATATTTTAATATTTAGGCTTTTTAATTAATTGATCGAAAAAATGCTCCTAAGTTTTAAAATGATTCTCTGTATCTTATTACTAAGTGTGTCTTTATTAAACTAATTTTTATACATTAAAACAAAATGATCATCCTACTTATTTAATAATCATACTGTGAAAATTTATAATATATAGTATTTGTAATTTCAAAATTAATAGATGATGTAATAAAATCAAATGTTATCATCCATTAGATTTTCACTTATGATAACTTTTTGTGATTCTTTAGAGTTTTCCTCGAAAAAATGAGATTTGGGATTTAATTTTAATAGGTTATTCATCCTTAAATTTTATTTGTATGTTTAGGTGAGATCATCACTTAGTTTTCTTGTCTTTTACCTTCTCATCTTAATGGATTTGCCCTATCCTTTAATGCAATCCTTTTTGCAGGTTTGGTTGACATAATCATAAACCATTACATCATCTTAAAAATCAACTTTTTTAGTGATCAACGCATCAATATTTTTTTCTGAATTGGCGAATTCATATTCTTCCCTTGACACTTAATGAGAATGGGAATAAACTTTCGGTTTATTCATCAAGTCAATGTTGAAAGACTTTCTTATAAAAAACTTCTCATCAATTTCAGGTAATTTTACGCATTCCAATCGATTTTTGAACATCTGAATCCCTGGGCTTTCTTCCGATTACTCTGTTTGGGAATGGGGAACCTTAATTTAAGGTAGAACCAATTTTCTTTCTTAATTATATTGTTTTCTGGATATTTCATTCAAATTAGCATGTAAAACAAATTTACGATCTTAATTCTACATTTAAGAATCATATCTATTTATTGAATTTGATTCATAAGACTCTTCAGTTTTTATGTTAAGCATTGTTAAATTAAAAATAATGATTTTTGAACAATTGAAATTATATTCTGTTTTAAGCCAATTAAATCTGAAATAAATATTAAAAAAACAGTATTAATTTTATTCAAGATTTGTAAAGATTTTCACATCATGCAAACGCCATAATCCAATAATAGTTTGATTAAATATCTTATTCAACCCAAAAATAAGTCCTTAACTTGTAATTTACAAGAATCCATATTCAAGAATTATCGATCACGATTAATATTTTAATAATAAATCATTTGTAGATTCTCTATAACACTTAATTTCCTCCTCGCTACTACTCTCACATTCCAAATTTTGGTTGCCTACTCCCCAAGCTTCCATGTATGTAATAGTAGGTGTCTGTATTGAAGGATCAATTAAGTCCCCTAAAATATATCTACGATAATAGAATACCCTTTATGTATGGTTCCCCCTATTTAGCTGCATAACTGGATTATTATATATTTTGAGCTGAGATCCACAATCTAAATTATTTCATGTCTCCTCCAAATCCCAATCCTTTCTTATTGTCAGTTTTATTTAAATAACAGTAATTTTGAGATCCAGGTCTTTTAGATTTAAAAACATCAGTTGCAACATTAAAAGGAGTGTAAGTCGGATACAATTGAAATAATATCGATTAGCTAGTTCCTTAATATGAATTAGTCTCAATCCATTGTGTTGAATTTAGTGCTCCCACAATGCAGTGTTTATTGCTTTTAGCTTTTATTTTTTTTTATTTTTAATTTTCTTCTTCATCACTATCATTTTCAGTGCTATCATCAAATTTGATTAAGATAAGGGTGGCTCCCTTAAATCCTATTAGAGCTGCATACAATTGGTCAAAATTCCATCCCTTTACACTAGTCCATAGCAAATCAAAGGAGTCTGCTTCTTAAATCACAGAACTACTAATGGCCATATATCCAAAAGTAGAATTATTAATTAAATAAGAAGGTTTTTGAAACTTTGACAATTGATTATAATTTCTTTGGGAAATAAACAATTGATTGAAGTATTTTGTTAATAATATTGATAAGCAAGGGAAGTTTTGCTCTAAAAATATTGTAAGTTCATAGAACATTATAGAACCTGCAGAAGATGTAAATAGTCTACTGAGGATAGATCTTGTCGTGTATTCATCCTAAATTAAATAATCTGTAACAAAATATCCTTATTCCCATATGAAGTATTCAATTTCACTTAATAAATCAAATGCATCCAAGTATGAGATCTTTTCCTAATCGTAATCAATTTTAGCCATGTTTATCTTTTAAATTGAAATAATTGAATATTACTCTGTTCTAGTCATTCTATTTAAAGTTTCTGGCTTAGTCAATTTGCCAACTAAAAAAAACATTAGATTAACTCTCACCTAAATCCTCAAATGCTTCAAATGATGGTCTCTCATCAGAGAAGTGAAAAACCATGTATTTATATAATTTCAGAGCGATGGTTGGCCTGTTTTTCAGGAGATATTGAAAGCATTCTTCATTCAAATAATCATTCTTGTAAGTTCAATAATCAAATTAATAACTTACTCATCATGTCTAGAAATGAGCTTCTTGTACAGTCTTTTAACTTATTGTCTCTCCTCATCATTCAAAATTGTCCGTTTTGGTGATCTTTTGGATAGGCAAAATTCATTTCCCATTTAATAATTAATTTTGGGAATGTTATTATAAACATCAACTAATAGACATATTAGAATGGTTTAAAACTTCATATGAGTAACTTCCTTCTTTTCTACCAACCTTTTTTATATATAATTCTGTATTAATTTATAGAACTCTTTTTGTGTGTAAAAAAGCTTTTTTAATCAAATGTTATTAGTGGATTTGCTAATTCTTATGGAAATTGCTAAGAATAGAAGTTCAATTTAAGAGAAAAATATCACATAGAATTTTAACAAGAGTAACTATTTTATCTAATGCAATAAAATTACAATTAAAATAATTAAATTTTATCAATGATGCAGCAAAGAGATTTCTATGGGAATGATTACATATACAAACATATCAAATAAGTAAGTTTACAGGAGTTTACAGATTAATTATTCAATCCCGTAAGGCATTAGAAATAAATGGTATTATTTACACAGAATGAGTAAAAAGAGCAATAGGAGCTCTATAAATATTATGTCTATTTAGGCGGTGGAATATTTGCAATGTCAGCCTTATCAGTAATTTTCTATAAAAAAATTCCCTATCTTAATAGAATAGAGAAAAGATGGGCTAGAATATTGACAAAAGCATTGTTACTCTTTGGACCACTCTAAGTAATTTGATTTCTCTATCATATAGGTCTAATCTATTTTTGGTCAAAGAGCTTAGTATGAATTATTGGATAGATAGTTTATATAATATCATAGACAATTATAAGATTATATGTTCTCTGGTGACATAAGAAAACTTAAACAAGACATCCAAATTAGTCCTGTATGATTTAATTTTATATTAAGAAGGGGTTTTAATATTATATAACTGTCTTCATAAAATTACTGCATTTTCATCAATGTCATCTTCTTAATGTCCAACATTTAATAATCTCTTCAATTCTAATTTCAATATTTTATGAGCTATCAAGATGGGTTTGATGCTTGAGTGTTGATTTGTTTGACTCATAATTCTTTACTCGAGAGTTTTTATAATAGTGTTCCACTCTGAGAAGATTTCAGGAGTAACATAGGGTTATAATTCTTTCAAAGTGCTTTCTATTTCTAATTTATAATTTTGCCATTCCTACCTCACTTATAAGAATTACTTCTCTACATCATCATTTGTCCTTACATTAATAAAATGATTAAGAGCCTAGAAAGTAAAGATCTATTGGCTCACACATACAGAAGTAAATCTATTAAATGATAGACTTCGTTCATCAACTGAGATAATGTCTGCTTATTCATAAAACAAATTCATAGCCTCCTTAAAATTGAATTTTTGATGTTCTATATGTCTAAATAATGTAATAAATTCATTATTATTAATCTTTTTGTTTCCATCTAAATCTGCTGCTTAAAATGCATGAATTACAAACTCCTTAGTCCTTATAGTAATGATTCTATATTTATTCATTACTTTAATAAGGAAATTATCAACATCAATCAATCCTTATTTATTTAAATTCTTAGGATCTGGTTCCTTTAAGTTTTCTAAATCATTTTTCAAATCTCTTAGTTCATCTTCCATCATTTTGTTTTCTAAATAGACCTTCATATAATCCAAAGCTCTTAGATAAGGAACATGAAACTTTTGTTCACTTTCACTTTGAACAACATTTACTCCTAATGTTGACTCAGAACACATGAAATCATAACCCTATAAAAAGAAGGACGATTCTTCAATTGAAAAGTTCAAATGCTCGTCTTATAGTATAGCAATCATTCTGGCAAATACATTTACCCTAAAAATGGATGAGAAATGAATAACTGAAAGTAGAAATTGTAAGTATTTCTTTTCAGCAACATTCTTAAACCCATATCTATTTAAAAAATTATTAAAAACAAATATTTGCATCTCGAGGTCCTTTTGTGTCTCATACTCTTTACTACTCCTAACCTTTTCATCATACAATTAGGTAATTGTTCTTAACACATTTTTCAAAGGCCAATAATTTACTACCTTCTTAAACAAATATGATTGTTCCCTAGCCTTAACTGCCAATATTACTCCTGGATGCATCAGTCTGTCAATCACATTTACTTTGTTCTGTTTTGTTTAAAAATTAAATTGTAATGCTTTTGTAATTCTATTTTTCTTTCTCTTAAATTGTATTTATTTCTTCTTCTCCTTCTCTTCCTCTTCATCTAATTCATTTATAATATACTCTTCCTCTTAAATCTCTGCATCCAATTCAACAGGCATTCTTTTACGTAAAGAATCAAATTCAACTAAGAATTGCTCAGCTATTTATTTGTGACTCTATTATTGTGTTCTCAAGATGTGAATCATCAACTTTCGAGTAAATGAAAAGAGTTGATTTAACAAGCCTGCAAAATCATTCATAGATTTAGTTAAGTTTTATGATTTCTGAATTTATAAGTTATACAACATAATTAACATAGCTACTTGAGTTTTCAATTGAATCTATTCTTGTTTGCTTAATCCAAATTTATTAGCAATAGAATTAGCTTACAAATTTTAACTACTTTGAATTACTGATGAATTTGAATTGACGATATTTAGATTTGAATTAGTTAGCATCTAAGTTTGATTGAGTTCATTTGGTTAAAACTCTTTTACAGTTGGTAATGCCAACTTCTCAGAACTAAACATCTTCTCCAATTGCCTTTTATTAGACTTTTGATTTTATTTTGAAGAATTAGTATTAGTATTATTTTTTACAGACTAGACTTCAATTTTTTCAAATGATAACTTCTTTAAACTAAAATTTATTCTTTTTTGACTAGTAGGCATTGGAGAAGCCTCCTCCATTTCTGCGACTTCAGCAATCAATTTAATATTATTTTTAGAATCCTTATGAGTAGATCTCTTCTCATCACTGTTAACTTCTGGAGGCTCCACAAACATTGATTACTCTGAATCACTCTAAATTTATTTTTCTTATGGTTCTTCCTTATCAAACAAATCTCTCAAAGTTTTCATATTATTGGCAAATAAATCAAACATATCCTCCTTCTTCATATTCCTTATGTGATCCATGCTGCCTGGCAATCCATCTAATATTCTTATTAAACTTGATCTCTGCTCCTTGGTTTGCTACATTTAAAGATGAGATTAGACATTCTTATTATTTGAAGATTGTGGTTAATCTTCTTAGAGGAAGAAACCCATTTACTCTTTAAGTTAGTATTCTTTGAAATGCTAATCTAATTCTTATTAATTGATTATTTTATCATACTAATGACCTATTAAATTTAAATCCGTTTAAGTTTCAAAAGTACGAGTAGGGATTTCAGTTTAACAATTAACAGAGAATGTTATCTTTGGTGGTTCATCCACAATGTCTTTAACAACTATATCAGGATTCTATTCAACACATGTTTTTTATTCAACCTCTTTTAATACTTAAGATAATGATAAATCCTATTCATCTACATCTTCTTCAACTTATACAACTTAAAAGCCAGATTGCTTCATATATTAGATCTTCGATATTTTATTTCTCAGTTCTTTAATTTCTCTATTTAAATTTGATATCAAAGTGGCAGCACCTTTCTTCATGGATTTATCGAGTTCGTTCTACTTTGTCAACTTTTAAACTATCGCAATCAAATTTTGTTCATCATCCTATTGGGTTTTCAATTTTTTCTCCTATTGTTGTATAACTTTCTTGAGATCAAGTATCTTTTCATTCAAATCATCTTGTTGTTACTCAAATTCTACTTATTGTTCCAATTAACTTTTGTAACCCTTAATTTGCATTTGTTACTTATCAGACTCAGACATATTAATGGTTTTTCTAAATACTTTTATATAACCCTTAAAGATTGCGAGCATCAACTATCCTCTCTCTGTACATTAAAATGAAACCTATCTAATCAATTCATTCAGGCATATAAATAGAACATCACTTGCTTATTACAATTTAGATTTGTGATCAATACTTGGATTTTAGGAAATACTCTCCAATTGATTTTAAAGCCATTTCTTTAGATTAATAGCATCATTTCTCCCAGTAGGCTCACTCGAAAAGAAATGTGTACTTGTGTGTTTCATGTCTTTAACTATCCCAAATATTATTCAGATAAGTACGTATTTTTTTCTTTATTGACAATTGCCTCTCTGCATTCTATATGCTTGAAATGTCTTCGAAGTAGCCCTTTTCTAATCCATTTTCTATGGTTGTTTTTAAATTTAGCATTGCATTTTTCCTATTCCCGCTCACTTCCTGTAAGTCTTAGGCTACCCAATTCAGATTGAAGTCAGAATATTTTTCTAAAATTTAAAGTACATCATCGAATGTATTTTCGAGATTTTATGTTTTATAGTAGTACCTTTGACTTTAAATCATATACTGCTAATTGTGTTTTCTCTCTTTTTGCTTAAGAATATATTCACTCAATCTCATTTCTGCTATTTGCTGCTTTTCCTTTATTTACTATTACAGTGTCTTATGTCTAAATGAATCAGCAAGGTGAGAAATATCTCTTTAAAAACTTGAAATTGATTATATTTTGCTGGATCGATTCGAGTTAAGATTAACTTTGTAATCTAATAATTTTTTTAAGAAACCAGTTGTAGTCCCTTTGGATTAATTTAATACTGGAGAGTAGCTTTTCATTATTAATATGTTATTAATAAAACTATCGAAAATTAAATTATTGACAGCTTTTTGTTTTCTGACAATAAATTTTATTCAACTTTGAAATTCCTAAAGATTTAATTTTATTAAATTATTAATATATTCATATTTTTGAGTAATAATATTAACTAAAATTATTCTCTTATAAATTAAGTTAATAAGCTTTCCAAAATGCTGCAATCAATTAATTTTTAGTTAAACGATTGATTATAAGTATAGATTTGGAATCTTGCAATTTCCTTGCTCATTAAATTTAAATAGAATAAAGTTTTTTTTTTATGCTTTTACATCATCTGATAACGGCATTGATGTAAAAGTTCATATTACAATGATAATTATAACAATTATTATTTTTATATTACTCATCATCTTAACTCAAAACTATCTAAACATAAAGGGCAATAATAATTTCTTTTTTATAATTAATCATCCAATATAAAATAGAATTCACACCCTTGGCCATCACAAATCTTGAGCTTCTATGAGTTATTCTTTAATAGATTGTTTTTCAATTCAACTATTTAATTTTCATAGAGTTAATATAACAAAATTTATTAAACACTCGTGTAGGCAGGATTAAATTTCATTTAACAATTTTTAGTACAAATATTCTTAAATTTGCAAGTAGAGGCCTGCTTAATTTATTCGAATAACCTATTTTCAACTTCTTGAGTAAGGGAAATATGTTGGCAATATTAATTTAAAAAAGAACCACTTTCAGTGAATTGCTAAAGAAAAATACTCTATGAAGTCTATAAAGAATTCTCGCTATATTGTAGTAAATTTCCACTTTCTAAAAGATCTCCAGTGTCTCCAGTTTTGCTTTCAATTTAATTTGGATTTAATCTGGGACCTGTCTAAGAATTTATTTCTGATTAACTAGTCTAAACCAATTATTGGGATCTATTAACTCTAAATTCAAATTTACAATTATAGGAGGTTTTAACTTGATTAGAGGATCTAAGAAATTTCTCTTTTTTGTTTTCTAAAGTGAGTTGGGAGTGAGTCCATTAAAATTGACTTAAATAAATCTTAAATAATAATAATTATATTTCTATATGATTAAAATAGGGCTGCCACACTTTGAATACAGTTTTTGAACCTAATAGTGAAATTAACGAAAAGAATAAGCTGAATACGAGTTCATAATAAATTATTATTAATAGCAATCACTACATGCTAATTGATCTCAACCTCTTTTATTTGTTGAATTAACTCAAATTCGAGGATTTTGTAGTATCATTAGCATTGTGTGATAGCAAACAATAAATGCAAATTGGGAGATATAATTAGGTGTCACACTTTACCCAAAAGAAGGTGCATGTATTACATTACTTCAAATTAAGTTATTCTTAGTATTTTTAGTAAATGGTTTCAAGTTAGATTTTCAATAGTTTCTTTAATAGCACTTCAGAGGCATATGATTTTAACAGTTTATTATTTATTTTTTTTCCGCATATGCAAGAAATTGTTGATTTTTATTAATCCAATTGTTGCTTAATGTTATTTTGGAAACAATCGTAATGATACTTATGTTTACATTACGTTGTAATGGTTTGAGAATGTGTCTGTTGATGTTATTCTAAGGTTATTATGGAAAATGATTAGTTTTCTTCTTATTTGGAGTATTGATTATCGAGATGCAATAGACAAAAATTGCATACTATTTCTTTATAATTTACAAGTGAATAGCCATTAGGGTTGTTCCCATTAAGAAACTTATTTCTCAATCTAATGATTGGCTTAAAAGCAATTCGTATTTTATTTTTCTAATTTCCTTGGCCCTCACTTGTACCAGATGCACTTAAATCTACTTTCTTTTTTATTAGTGAATCATAAAGTTTGGGGTTGATGTCTTCTGTGCTGCAAGATGAGTGTTTTTTTCTTCTCTTTTCATTGCGATTCTGCGGCCTAATATAAAGGGTTAATTTTTTGTTTAAATTAAAGCAACTACTATTTTTTTACAAAATCGTACTAAGATACTCATAGTCACTTAATTAGCTTTACATTATTTAAAGATTAATTATAAACTAATATTAAATAACTATTACAAACCTTGTAAATATCCACATTTTATAGAAATTAGTACACATTAAGAATCTAACAATCCATTAGTATAGATGAGACATACAATCTATAGTACTAATGAAATTGGAGTTTCACGATTTTTCTAAGTTAAAACGTGGATTCTAGATAAACTTCTATGGAAGAGTGCATGATTGCCTAAATTACTTATTTGTAGAGTTTTGGAAGTAAAATACTCAAATTATATTACGATTATTATCTTAATTAAAACCCATAATAATAAAATTAATTCATTAGTATATAAAGAAAAAATAATTATTAGTAAACCTTAATCCTTCCAAGATTCAAATTTAGAAAGCTATCCAAGTTTAAACCTATTTAATAGGTTGCGGGCAAGGCTCCTATTCCGGAAGCTGAGCTCGTTCTAAATTAAACAAACGAAATCATTTTTATCATATATATTATTTACAATATAAATACTTCATTTAATTGGCAGAGATATGTCAAAGTGATTTTTAATAATGTCATAAAATAATATATTAATTATGTATTTAAATAAAGTAATTAATATATTCCATCAAAAATCACGTATGAAGGATTATTATTATACTTAATATGTGATAGCATAATACTATTATTATTGGCATTATTATTATGCAGTTTTGTAAATTTAAAACTAATTTATTAAATTATGGGAGTTTGCTAGTCTCGTTCAGATAGAAGGAAATCTCTCAAATAAAAACAACTCCAAATAGAGAGTGAACAAACAATCTAAGAGAAAGTGAAGGTTAAAGAAAATGTTGTTCCTCGCCATAAAACTATGCCTTCAATACATTGCTACTCATCAAAAGAAAAGTTGGTAACGTGCAAAAGCGTGATTGTTTCCAAAATAAAAAAGAGAGTTTATGGAGAAGCATTGGCCAAGTTTTACGCAGTTCTCAATCCCTAATTTGTTTATAAAAGTAGGCTGTTTAGTAATCCTTAGATAATGACAATATGGGACTAGTCCAGCACAATATTACTGGTGTGGTAAGAGTGGCAAGAAACATCTCGAAACCCACTGAAGCTAACCAAGATTTTGACCACCTAATTACTAATCTCCAAGAATAGAGCTATGTAGTCTACATTATTTAACTTTAGTGTTCTCTTCATTTTGCCAACATCATTGAATTATACCAAGATTCCAAAAGTTATTACGCAATATAAGAGTATTGCAGTGGAGGCTTGCTGAGTGATAAATGTGGCTTGATCAAGGAAGAGGAGGCAATCTACATAATATCTTAAATTTTGGATATTTTGGAGGAAATTCACAAACAAGATAATTGTCATGGTAGTCTTTCTATATCAAGTTTTGCGTTGCATGATTAAACAAACAATCATTACGTGAAACTGATTGATGTCATCCCAGTATTTTAAGCCAAGGAGAAGTCGAAGATTAGTGAAATGCAAAAGGATGATCGCTAAGCGGTTGCCCTAATCTTATTTCAATTGATAACCAACAAACCAATCACTTCGTAAACAGTCGAAATGATTATCAAGAGACCAAAAGATCTACCAACAAGGACTGAATGGTATCAATTGGTTGTACTCTTGTTGGAATCAAGGAGCTCCATAATTTATGAATCAGTCTTGTAGAATAAACAATATAGAGAAATAGTACAAAAGTAGGAAGCCAGATACACAGAAACCATAATCAACAAATCTGTCAAAAGAACCTCATATATTCAACAATAAATTCTAATTCTAATGAATTCCATTTTTTTCAAAGAACGCCAATTGTAATTGGAGAAGATTTTTAAAAAGAATGACGAAAATAAAAATGGCACCCTTTCAAAAGAAGAACTTCAAATTGCTTTAGGAATTGATGAGATCATAGATGATTTGTTTGAGAACATCGATTGTGATGGAAATGGAGAAATCGATCTTGATGAGTTTATTCTTCATTCTTGCGATAGAAAAGCATTAATAACTGATTTAAATTTAGAAGCCGCTTTCAAAGAGTTATCAAGGAAAGAGCACATAGTACCTTCGAATTTCAGTAGGTTGAAAAATTGCGATGAGGAGAAGATCGAAAATAACATGATAGAATTCTGTAATAGCAAAAGAGTATATACTTATTTTTAATCATAGATGAGTTTGGAATAGTTCAAAAAACTGATGATGGATTTATTATGAGATCTGCATTGTCTCCTTTGAATATATGATGAATTTTTCAAATTTATAATAATTATGAATTATATATTAATTTTTTTGCTGATAGGCTTTGCCTCTTGTTAGTGTTAAGTTGGGTATGTATGGACTAATACGGGATGTAAATGTAATTTAGTGTTTTTATTTTAAGTATGCCAAAGCTTTTGTAGTTCATGTACAAATGGCGAATGTGATTAATGTCCTCCGTCCTATTATGGTGATTCGACTCATTGCTATAGTAATCATTTAAATAAGCTAGATTGTTATGTTGGATGCACTTCATGTACAGATTATTAAGTTTGTACATCATGTTAATCCCCCTAATACTTCCTTGTATAAACTACATGTTAATAATGCTCTTTTCCTTGCGTGAAATGCGATACCTAAGGAGCTTGTTTAAGTTGTGTTCCTGGATACATGGTAGTGGGAAATAATTGTTTGCAATGTTAAAGTCCATGCTCATAGTGTTCTGGAGAATTATATAAATGCACCTCTTGTAAATAAAGCTCTCCCCAATATTACTATCTAAGTGCTCAATCTTGTCTGTTGTGCGAATTTCCATGCGTAAGTTGCATCTCCAAAAACAAGTGTACTTCTTGTAATTAAGGTTACTATTTGAATTATGATCAATACTGTACTAAATGTATTGAGCCTTGTTTGGAGTGTAGTAGTCAAGCAAGATGCTCCAGTTGCATTAGCGATGAATATTATCTAACTCCAGGCGATAATTAATGTCAAACTTGTAGAAATTTTGATTCCAAATGTTTAACGTGTAAAGCTGAACACCAATGCACTTCATGTGAGACAGGTTACATTGTTTAAGATGACTACAAAGGTTCATAATTGATTTCAACTTGTGAAAAATGCTCATCATAATGTCTAACTTGTTCGAATGATTCTAATGAATGTTTGACTTGTAACAATGCCTTTTAACCTCCAACTTGTAAGTAAACTTGCAGTACATCACAATTCCAAGTTGGCTTATTATGCTATTCTTGTGCAAGTTAATGTGGAACATGTGAATTGAAATCTATTTAATGTTTAAGTTGCTCTTTGAATAGAATGAGTCCTCCATTATGTCCATGCAAGGAAACCTACTTTGACTTCAATGGAGTCTGCTCTCCTTGTATTTCCAATTGCAAATTTTGCTATGATTCAGTCTCTTGTTCGAAATGCTCGGATGGATATTATTTATAATCAAATGTCTGTGTTTAACAATGTGATCCTCTTCATTATATAAGGAGAGATTTCAGCTGCATTTACTGCAACATCGATAATTGCATTGAATGTAACATTAATGGGATTTGTGATTAATGTAAGCCAAGTTATTTGTTATACAATAATCAATGCTATTTTTAGTAGTGCAATTAAGGACAGTACACAATTGACAATGAAAATTGTTTAAATTGTCATTATAATTGTTATAATTGTTTAAACTAGGCAGATAATTGTGTTGAATGTCATAATGGCTATTATATCTTAGAAGTTAACCAGATAAATAATTGTGTTGTAGAATGCCCATTAAGTTATTATGTACAAAATAAATAATGTTTAAAATGTAACTCCAATTGTTAATAATGTTCACAGGAAAATGTATGTACATCATGTGTTGTTGGAAAGTTTTTACTAAACAATAGTTGCTAACCGAACTGCCCAATCTCCTATTATGAAATAGACTAATAATGTTTGAAATGTCCAAATTATTGTGAAGTGTGTTATGATCAATATTGTTAAAAATGCTAAGTTGGATATTTATTCTTATAAAATTCCTGTTTAGAATATTGTCCAGATGGATATTTTGGAGATACAAATTCAGAATGCAAGCCATGCTAAAAAATATGTAAAACATGTGCAAATGATCATGAATGCATCTCTTGTGCTGCACCCTTATTCTATGAAAACTAAACCTGTATAGGAAAGTGTCCAATTACCTATTACAGAGACCTTGTGGATAACTTATGTAAATAGTGCATAGATGGGTGCGAGATATGTGAGAATGAGACATTTTGTCATAAATGCTTACCAAAATATGCAACATTTAAAAAACAATGTGTGATTGAATGCGATATTGGATATTATATAGAAGATTAATATTGTAGAGAATGCGATTTTAGTTGCTACACTTGTCATGGCCCAACAAAGTTTGATTGCATTATTTGTAAGTATGAATTGAAAGTGTATAAATCAATGTGCATAGAAGAATGTCCTAAGAACACAGTGTTGATAGATGGACAATGCAAAGAATGTCATGAAACTTGTGATACTTGTTATGACTCTGGCATCTTGAATTGCTTAACATGTAAATCGGAATACATCTTATTTAATAGTGGCTGTTATGCTTATTGTCCCACACAATACTATAAAAGTAAGGGACAATGTTTGAAATGTTAAGACCATTGTGATATATGTATTAACAATTTGTCATGTCTTCGTTGTGAGAATACTTTCTATTACAATAGTGGTAATTGTTTATCAGTATGTCCAAACGGTTACTATGGATATGATGGCATTTGTGAGAAATGCCACTTTTCATGTGCAACCTGTAACGGAGCATTACAAACTAATTGTGTGACATGTACACAATCATTAATTTATTATAATAATGAATGTCTATCAGGATGTTTAAGTAGATAGTATAAGGATGCATCAAACAATTGTCAACCTTGTAAAGAGACATGTGCAACCTGTACAAATAGTAATAATTGTTCTTAGTGCATTTATCATTATTATTTGGACCCCTTAACAAACAACTGCGTCTTATAATGTGACACTGGCTATATGCATAATTACAAACTGAGAGCATGTTAAGCATGTGCTCCTGGATGTTAAACATGTTTTGGGTAATCTAATAATCAATGTTTATCCTGTTTTCCCAATTACTTATTTTATAAGAATGAATGTTGGTAGACTTAATGTCCACAATCAACTTATGAGGAACAAGGTATTTGCCTAGAATGCGATAAAGATTGTATGACATGTGATGCATAACAACCATGTATCAGTTGTTTGCCTGGTTATTATTATTTTAATTAGAAGTGTTATCAAACATGTCCGGATGGATATTTTGGAGATTAAAATACTAACTAATGCAGTTAATGCAAATAAAACTGCAGAGTTTGTTGGGATGCTAGTGGCTGTGGTTATTGTTATAATCATTATACTAATAACGGATAATTGGATTATTTCCTATTCAACAATGACTGTGTTACTACTTGCCCTATTAATTATAACTACTTCCTATTTGAGTGTACATCCGATATAACTCCAATCTAATTAATATCAAATGTAGCTGAATATTGTCGTGATGATTCAAAAACTTTCTTAGACATCACATAAAATAAGTGTGTAGCTTGTGAACAATCATGCTAAACTTGTTTTGGACCTTGGTGGTCTCAATGCCTCTCATGTACAAATTTGATTCGCTTTCACTTTTGTGCGGATTAATGTGGAATACAAGAATATTAAAGCGGAAACCAATGTCTGCCCTGTCATTCTAGTTGCCACTATTGTGAGTCCAACAATAGAATCGATAATTGTACTAGCTGTGATCTTGGTTCATATCTTTAATTAGTGGAAAACTAATCATATGGTAAATGCGTTAACATTTGCGATGTTGGCTATTACCCTGATGGCAATAATAAAGTCAATGGTTAAACCATTTGCAAATTATGTTAACCTACTTGTCTGACATGCTTATTTTAAAGTTCTTGCACATCTTGCGCTTATCCAAAAGTGTTAAGAAATAATAAGTGTGTTGACCATTGCAATTCAGATGAATTCCTATCTAAAATAGATAATAAATGCTATAAATGCAAAGGAGGATGTTCTACTTGCACAGATGCCTTGTCTTGCACATACCCATTGATTGGTTCTTCACAAACCTTATATCTATAAAACAATCAAGTATATGCCAGTTGTGGAGAGGGATACTATGCATAATCGTATATATGTGAAGATTGTCCAACTGGTTGTTCAATCTGTAGTGATAGTAATACATGCACCAAGTGCAGTAGTTCTTATATTTTATTTAATTCCTATTGTGTTGTAGAATGTACTGGCAAAAGCTACTTTAATAATGGTTAATGTTCACTATGCCATAATAATTGTTCACTTTGCTATGGAGGCGATGAAAATTCTTGTATTTCATGCGATAATGGATTAAAATACATCTTAATTTATGACAGTATAAGCAGCACTTACATAACATACTGTAAGGATTCCTGTCTTGCTAATTATACCTACGATATTCAATCAAGAATCTGTCTGTATAATACTTGTCATAATTCATGTTTAACATGTGCAGGAGATCAATAAAATCATTGTATAACATGTCCTTAGGGTAAGGTGTTAAATCTGATAAATTATAAGTATGGGACCTGTGATGGATCATGTTCTGTTGGAATGTATAATGGCAATGGCATCTGTTAAAAATGTAATGATTTTTGCTAAGAATGTACAAGCTATACCTCTTGCACTGTTTGTAAGCCAAATCTTTATCATTTAAACAAATAATTATGTTTGATTTAATGTCCCTTAGGATATTATTAAAATATCGATACTTTTACATGTGATTAATGCGATTCTGATTGCTAAGAATGCATCTATCCCAATGTTTGTACTAACTCTCTGTAAAGTTGTACATCCGATCAATTTCTTTATCAAAATACTTGTATGGATTGTCATTGGACATGTTTGACATGCGATGGGCCAACCTAATTCGATTGTACAAGTTGTGGATACTTATAATCATCTTCAGAGCATAGATACAAGTACTATACCTAATGTGTACTACTATGTCCAAAGGGTTATGATGGTTACAAATGTTTTTAATGTCCAGAGAATTGTGAAATATGCTCCTCTAATTAGGACTGTGTTTCCTGCTATATAGGATAGTACTTGTAAAATGGTGATTGTGTTAACACTTGTAATCAAGGCTATTATGCTGATCAAGACATTAAAATTTGTAGAGAATGCTATACTGGTTG